CTCCTAAATCTAATGCTGTTTGCCTTGTTTACCTACATACATCAATGAAAAGAGATTTAACATGGAATCAAATATTTTCAGCATTGCTATATTTGTAAAAAAAAAAAAAAATTAAAAGTCAATTTTCACCAAAATCATAGGTATATTTCAACATAAAATCAATTTCTGAATTTCATGGTTTTTTTTTTAAATACTAGTTCATTTGTTTTGTGTTCATGTTCCCCTCAAAAATGAAAAATGAAAAAATTACTTATGAAAACTGTTTTGGAAACTGGATATGTGATTTTAAGATCAGAATTTAAAGATAATTTGCCTTTTTTTATATGATAAATGTCCTTCCAACAAGCATGGTTATATAACAGTAAGTTATATAACATAAGGACAGGTGTCAGGAGAGATTCCAAGGGAAGAAACAGTCTGATCAGTGCGAGAGGTGTCCCACAATTTGTCACCTCTTACAACGTTCAGCGAGACATGGCAGGGAGAGATTCCTTCCCTGTCTAGAGAAGAAGTAGTCTCCCATCTGCAATGGGTGCCCCACAATTTGTCACCTCTTACAACGTGCAGCGACACATGGCAGGGAGACATTCCTTCCCTGTCTAGAGAAGAAGTAGTTTCCCATCTGCAATGGGTGCCCCACAATTTGTCACCTCTTACAGCATGCAGAGAGACATGGCAGGGAGATTCCTGTCTCTTTCACAGGTTCTTGTATGTTACTACTATGTCTCTGTTGTATATGGTAATAGAGTAGAGACTATATGGAATGATATCTGGTCACACAACAACAATCAACTTCTATAACCAAACAAGGATCAGGAACAACCATAGGACTGACAGTGGTATTCCCACACAGATATATACGTACTTCCTTTATACTGTCAACTATACATCAATTGTATTCTTCAACCACACCGGTGAATCCTTCCTTCCTGTCAACCTCACCAAATATGCATAGTAATTTCCTGATAGAAATGACCTTCCAACATCATATTAATGAAACTGGGACCTGATAGAGGGACAAAATCAAAGTACTTGATATATCAGTTATAAAAGGTTGTATCAATTCAACACAGTATAATTTTACTCTTTAAGTTAATAGATCTACGCTCTTTGTCATTACTATTCATTATAAATTTAATCTGACTTTTAGAACTCTTTTAGCAAATTTGTTTGTAAAACAAAAAGTTAGACACAAAAAGTTAAAAAATATCAAAATTGCAGTTTGGTGACACGAAACAGTTTTGCCAAAACAAAGCACTATTCCAATACCAAGTCTCAGGTGCTATGTTAAAAGCATGTTTGATACACAAAAATAAACATTGAAACTATTGTCATTCTATTTTTAAATCACAGCTGCCAAGTTTGATAATCTGAATTAAAAGTTAATATTTCAGATTGAATACTTTTAAATGTAACCTTACTTTAACAATAATTTAGTTTCACATCAAAAATCAAGTCATAAGTGCCAGTTAAACCTGTTTTATCATTTTCATACTGACAGATATTTAATACAATATTTAGCATCTAACAGGCCCAAGGGGCAAAGACTTGAATTTATGACTAATTATGACTATAAATAACAGGTGTTTGGGAATGGGCCTTAACACAGTATTTGATGGTAATATTTTACTACTGCAAAGCAAAAAATAAAAATGGGCTTACAACTAGACCTGGGCTTATTGCAGGGAAACTCGGGTACTATCATAACAACGAATGCAAAACAGATATCAACAAACCCTCTGACTTCTCAAATATCAGTAATCAATTAATTATGTTACAATACATATCAGAATAACACCATATCAGGTAAAATTATCACAATTACTTAACATTCCTGAAAACATATCTTTCTAAAAACAATGGGATTTTCATTACAAAAGATTACATCATATTTAATTTTTACCTTACAATATACCCTTCAGACAGTAGGTACACGAGTCTGAAATAAATACACTCTTAGCTATTTTAGTATACTTGTCTCATAATCTTGATTGAGACAATGATACATCTCTGTAGACATCATACATCTATTTAGGTACGTTTAAATGCTTTGAGTGTCACTAAAGAGTCTCCTTCTCCGTTCTGACAGACCTGTCGATCTGACTTATGATAAAACACTTCAATGAACACTTTGGTGGTGTGACAATGTAAATCACTGACAAGGTCTACTGAACTACAGACAACCTCAATACCTTTAACTGTTACCCAACCCAACACTGACTAAACTCTCCAACACTGACTAAACTCTTTTACGAAATAAGTGTTTTGTTTTACTGCTTATAGATCAGACTGGAGATCTGACTTGTGAAGATTCATCAGTAATTGCTGTAAAATGTGGAGGAGTGGTACAGCATTACACCAAATTTAGCCATTAGTTTATGATGTATCATCAGTGATGGAAGAGGTCCAAAGGTCCCATTACATATCACAGAAATTTCAGTTTAGTGTAGCAGACCGATTAAACAGGATTCGTCATAAATAACAACAGATTTTACAGAAATATATTCTCACCCCTAAGACAGGGACAATCATATAATAGATTTTATTCTCCTCTTACATTTTTATCATATTGATACAATTATACAATATTAGACATTACATTCTATAGGAATGCTTTAATTTGAGTAATGAAATGAATCTCATATCATTTTTTAACTTTCCTTTTTTTAAGTTAAAAACACTAACCTAGTTCAAACGTTATATAATAATATTTCTTGTGCAACAACATATTTTTCGTTTTTTTTTTCTTTTATGGATCAATCAGGAAATAAGTATTCTTTTTAATATTTTCTAAAACTGAAACAGTTACCCAACAATGAGAAAATTCCCTATTTTAATAATGGCCATAACCTTGCTATGTAAAGCCAAGGTTTCAACAAGTCTAAAATTTAAACAGATCAGAAATGACAAGTCTGACGGGATATCAGCAGTAAATATTTAGTCTTTTAAAGTGTAATAGACAAGCTCTGACATATCCATACTGATCCCGTAAATAGTGTGTAAGACGTCTGTACTATAATTTGTCTAAGTACCTTTGTTACGGGATGTTAAGCTTGGCCATTCACTGCTGATCTACTAACACATATTGTTCATATCAATATGATCTCCCGATATTAAAGAAAAAATGTCTGATTCTCAAACCAAACTAGAACAGACAAAAACTATTTGAATTGTAAGTAATTATTTCAGGAAAGCCTGTCTACAAGCCACTAGTACCATTGTGGCTTTTCTGTAATAAGCTACCACCTAGCCCCTGGACATAGATATCAGTAAGGTAATTTGTACAGAATTCAGATTCCAAAGAGAAGTGGATGAGTAAAATGCGATCAATGAAGTGGTACACATGTAAGTGTAAGCCTTAATGCCTGGCCAGATGATACTTGGGAGACTATCAAAAAATCTACTATGAGATATTTGTTATATGTGTTAATGGTTCTAATCATATTTAATAAACTAAGCCATACATCAACCCATATTCACGGTTGTATTTCCTATTCACAATACCTGCCATTTTTTCACACTTCTAAAGGGGCAGAAAAGTGTGTGAGCAATATTTTTGACTAGCCACGACACCTTGCACTTTGTCACTGTTAAATAGTGTTACAGTTACGGTCTGTCTGTCTGCCCGTCTGTCTGTCTGTCAGTCGGTCTGGTCAGACGTATACTCATAAACATAGATATTGGTAAAAAAGGTAAACTTCACATTCTAACTGATGTAGATAGAGACCATACAATCATGATCCAAATATTCTGGAGGTTTTCTCACCACAAATATTTCCTGTATTCGTCAAAATAACTGATATCTTTTTATTGTACATCACACTGGTACAACAATATACCAGTTCTCAGTGAGAGTACACATGAACCATCAATTGTTTCCTTTATAATATGTGAAGGTCATGACAAGAAAAAGAAAGTTCAGTACATAAAGTGACTTCTAGCCACTTTGATCACAATTCATCTAAAGACCATTCAAACAATGGCTGGATGGCTGACAATTAAAGAGAAAATCAGGTGGCAGAGTTACATGTATTCAGTAGGGACACCTAGGTGAGTGGGGAATGAAAAACTTGAGTGGAGGAAGTAAATAAGTAGCAGCTGGACAGTAGAACAATTTTTTAAATGGTAGCTTGGTATTAGGACAACTTGACCTGTGGTTGCTGCTGGTAAGCAAGCACACAAGATCTATGATTCATGTTTCTGAGGATGAAATAGTAATAATACAGAAAGTGACTCCGTCTGTGGCAAAACAAAAACAACTCCTGTACATTTCTATCTATAAACTAATTACCTTATTCACTTCTACAAATATTACAGAATTAAATAACCTAGGAAAATCCATATATCATGGAAGTTTAGTACGCTCTACTCTGATGGTAAGTAATTAGATTTTTATTCTGTATTGTTATACTATATATATCTTTGGTCATGATTTTTTATGAATTCATTTACAATATTGATTTCATAAAGTAAATTACTGTAAATCATGTGAAGTACATGTGTATTCCACACAAATCTGACCTTGAATTGGATGTACATGAAATTGTATTACAACAGTTGTATGGATAAGATGTAATCCTCGAGATGAAATAAAGAATTTATTATAACATGATCTTGTCCCACCATGATCTAGCTTTGTTGAATAGAAAACTAAATCTATTGAAGGTGGAGATTGTGTCTGAGACACCAGTTAGAGATCCTGTGTCCAGCTACAGATCTATTCACAAGAAAGAATAAGGTGTCAAGGAGGATTTGGCTGGACCTCAGCAGGACATTGTTGACTGTAAGCCATCACAGGTCTATGTAATGTACACACAGATAATTCCACTCCCATTTCCCTTCAAAGACATAGCTGTTTTGACCAGCCAGAAATAACTGGGTAGGCTGGTATACAGGACTTACCCACCCAACAGGCCACCGGTGACCACTCACTCTTACAGTACGTCACACACCAAAAAGTCATAGGTCACACTGGTGACAGTCTGAAAGCCTTCACTTACCACATGAACAGCAAACAAAGCACTTGGTATGATACAGGTTGCCCATGGCCTGGCAGGCTTCACTGGATCCTGCCACACGATCTCCACACGCAAAGCACTGGCCTGAAACAGACAGCAATAAGTCAAACTACATCAACACAACACACTGGCCTGAAAACAGACAGCAATAAGTCAAACTACATCCACACAAAGCACTGGCCTGAAAACAGACAGCAATAAGTCAAACTGCATCCACACAAACACTGGCCTGAAAACAGACAGCAATAAGTCAAACTACATCCACACAAAGCACTGGCCTGAAAACAGACAGCAATAAGTCAAACTGCATCCACACAAACACTGGCCTGAAAACAGACAGCAATAAGTCAAACTACATCCACACAAAGCACTGGCCTGAAAACAAACAGCAATAAGTTGAAACATACCCACACAAAGCAATGGCCTGACATAAATAGCATTAAGAAAAAAAGCCTGTCCATGCAAAGATAGCCTGAAACAAACAGCTATTAGTCAAATTCTATCTATGCAAAGCACTGACTTGAAACAAAAATAGCAATGAGTGAAAACTTCATCCATGCAAAGCAATGACCTGAAACACAAAGTAATTATTTAAAATCTTAAAATCTATCCTAGCAAATTCAAGCATCTGCAAACAAAGTATAGATCCTTAATGCATAAAAGTAAGTTCTAGAGAAATCTTTTTTCCCAATCATTAATAGTCAATTAAAAATATAACTGGGTCAAGGCCACTGGTCGTTGGAGTTTGAATATCTTGACAATACCAACATCATGTGACATTTGACCTTAAGATACTTTTATATACAGTTTATAAAGTCTCATGTGACATTTGACCTTAAGATAATTTTATATACAGTATATAAAGTCTAAAACAAAACACTTACAAATTTTGGTAACTTAGTGACACTATTCTAATGGCTATATTTTTTATTTACTTTCAAAATGAATATCATAAATAATTCAGAATTTGCATCTTTTGTACAGAATTTGATTTTTGTATATTGTGTAAAAAAAAACATTTTTAGAGAAATTCTTGAAATGTACACTAGAAGTGTGCATTAAGCTTTATAAGTGAGGTTTGATACTGACTTCTGAAGAACTTGTTTCAATGTTCATGGACCCGAGACACAACCACTTTAGAGGAAAGTTTAGTTTTCTACCCCAAAACAGACTCACATTCCAGGGGGACAGGTGGTCAATGCTAATGAAAACAAGAACCCCTTGAATGTGGATCGACCGTTAGAGGTAAAAGGGTGTAATAATCCCAAAGACCATACCAGTGAATACGGAGAAATTGTCCACAGTGAACCTGGTATGTCTAACACTTACCTGTGTTTGATTAAATTCTCAAAAGCTACTGTAGCTTGATGAAAATCATCTGTTCACTTGGATATCAAAATACTTCACATACAGGTAAACAATGGAACACAAAGAATAGTGCTTCGATAAAAGTGAAACTTTAAAAAGTTCAACAATTTTAAGTGCAAACAAATGAAAACTTCTGAAAAGATTTAAAAGCTTCATTCAAGCATTCTCAAATAGTTGAAGTAAAATTCCTCACATCAGTATAATAAATAACAAATTAACAATTCTTATAGAGTTTACTTAGTGTTTTCAGTATGTTATGAGAATCACAGAGAATTCTGCTGTTAAATGTATATCTCTAGACGGCATCCGTAAAGGCGACACCAGCCTGTTGCTGGGTATACCCATGGTGACACAAAGAACTGTGAGCATGACTCATGCTATGCGCATCCGATCACCTGACAGCGCCTATTCTTCTAGAAAGCGTCATAATTTGTCATTAAAAGCAAAATAAAATAAAGTCTTTTGAAAGTAAATTAAATGCCACCTCGAAAAAAAAATGTTTTAAAATTCAATATTCAACGTTACTTCTGGTAGGTTTAATTTTGTGCGGTTGAATAGTCACCATGAAATAAAGCGGAGACATAAAAACAGCATGATTCATGTCCTGTGTTTGTCCACATTTTATTGTTTATCTTTCAGTCTTAAATGTTTTTGTGGACATACAATAACTGTAGTGTAGCTTTATTATACCTATTCAGGAATGGTGTAGGAACAGTATTATATTTACCTAAATTATTAAAGATATCTATGTTAGAGATTGAGTGTTAAGTCTATATACTATTACTTGTCTGGACAGTTCTGATTTCACAAGAGCCTTTCAACTAATTTTGAAGTAAATGACATTTTGAATCTGATTCTTCAAAACCTAGCATTAAAATTTTCAAATTCCGACCTATGGTATAATTGTAAATGATTTTATAACCACAAAATTATAATTTTCTCAATGAATCCTTTTTACTGCTCAGTTCAAAAGCATCCAAGAATTCTAGCATCAACTAAGTGATTCTATGATTGCTTGTAAATATCAGAGTTGATTCTTAAAGGGGTCGATAAGGGAAATGAATTGTAAAGGGGAGATGGACCTCTCAGCTACTCTATATTGTTTTACATGTAAAATCCACCAATAAAAAATAAGCTTCTTGAACTTTGTGATTTAGAATGTGTACACCTGGACCTTAATCACAGCGGATAACTAGTAACAGTAAAAGATTGGCAGATATATACTCTATCCATATCTACCTGTTTAATACAATGATTAAAACACCAGGAATGTCCTTACATAGTGCAAAACAGTCATAAGAAGGCTACCTGTAATCAGCTGCTCTATGTACCTGTATAGATATTTATAGAGCACAATGACGTTGTACTTTATTTGACAATGTAAAAACTCTTAACCCTGGATATTAAGTACATGTACTTTTACCCCCTTCCCCTTGACAGAACATTTTGTTCAAATATATCAAAATTCATTGAAAAATATCTCGGTGTGAACACAACTTTTACCACGATGAAATATACTAGAGGAAAAAAAATGCACTATCACAGATAGTGTTTTCCTGAATAGTGTTTAAACAAGAGTACTCTTCGCCATTTCCTGATCCAAATCAGTAGCGTGTATGCCCATCCTTGGCTTCAGTCACTGCTCTTACTCTCCTTAACAATGCACCATTAAGGTGTTTATTGTTCTTTGAGGGATATATGAGGTGTTGATACACTTCCTAACCCTCCTGTACAGCTCATCTAACAAATGCTAGATTCAGGACAAATCTAGAACGTATAGTAGCCAATCGAGAACGGGGTTGTTTAGAACCACAAAGTCACAGTAAACCCTAATCACTACATATTATTGCTGTAAGATTGTCATGAATAACCATGAGAGGTGTTTTCATGTCTTGAGATATCCCTGCCAATATCATAACAGTCCTTCCCCGAATCTGACGCTTATCATTACACAAACGTCAGAATTTTGCTCACCATGACGTCATTGATTGTCATTGTCATCCATCAGACCTGTAAAGAGTGATGGGAGACTCGTCAGTGAACAACATGCATCTCCAATGCACTAAAAAAAATATGATTAGGTGCAAGCAGCCAATGCATTTGACGTTTGCGTCACCTCTTCATCAGTGGCGGATCAACATAGGAACGTTGTGACCTTAAATGAAACTCTTGCTACCGATTCCTAACCATACTTGGACACACTGGCCGACCATGACAACTTGGCATGCTCTCTCCATTGCTGTGAGATATCGGTTATGGAGGTGCGAGAGACGTATGCCTCAATCTTGACATTGTAACAGTCATCAAAACTCCCTGTATATTGTCTCATTTACGCCATATTGCTGGGATTCATGATGTTACAAATATCCATGCGTTATTAAAGCAATGGCCCTTCACCTATCGACTTCTCTCAATCACTGCATTTCGCTCTACAATCGCTTCAAAAAGAAATGTGTAGCTGATCTGTACTGTTCCAACATTGGATTTGTAATGATTTACCATCACAGTTGGTGCAGGAGAACCCCAGATGCACGCTTTCTTGTAAAATCTGTTCAAAGTGTCAAGCGAGGGTAGCATTGGCTAAATTTCAACTGAGGAGAATTTTCAAAGTATGTGAAGGTAGATCTATGTGAAATTTCATTAAATTTTGTCCACATGTCTAATAGTTATATTGAAAAACCAAACTTCCTATTTCTGTCAGTAGCTTTCCATGAGATTCAATATCACTTATCACCTGTGTTATTTTTTGTTATTTACATGATCCCAGAGGGATCATGGCACACACTGTTGATCGCTATTTATTTGCTCTTTGAAATTTGGAACTTTTCCCTTCTTTTTACTTCTCTTCTCTGTTTTTACTCTTAATGATAAGAAATTTGAACATCCCTTTACAGAAATAGCAATGATAATCTTTACCTGCGAAATCCAAAAAGGTTGTCTAGAAGCCATTTTGTGTCTTCTGATCAGTCCCAAAATCAAACAGGCACAAGTAGAGACCAAAGGGAACATATGTATGGAATTTGACAAGAGATCCATGCAGTAGTTCTAAGAAATAGGGATAACAGTCTTTATTATACAAAATCCAAGACAGCTGCCCGTGGGCCATTTAGTTTTTCTGATCAATCCCACAATTAAATTGGCACAACTGGGAACCAATGGGAACCTAAATAGGAAATTTGAGAAAGATCCATCGGGTCTTTGCAAGAAATAGGGATAATAAACTTTCAAAGTAAAAACCCATCAGCCTACCAGCCATTTGTTTTTCTGATCAGACTATTTCTCAAGAAATAGCAATAACAAAATTTGTGTACCGACAGACGAACCACATGCAAACATAGTGCAATTTGAATATCTAAAAAAACAGAATATATATCAGTGAATCCCCTAAAGTTGAAAAGGAATAAAACTGAAACTGAAAAATAAGACGAAAAAAGTTGACATTATGATAATACTATTTATGGCATTTGACCATCACTTGATGTTATATTAACCAGTATCATCGTATACATCTTTCTTTATCATCACCTGTTATGTTCCAGGCACACATGGAAAAAACACTCATCATGCAGCTACATCACAAAGTTAATGACAGATACTAGCAATCAAATTATTGCTAACTTTAATTCTGCTATCATTTTATCATACCCCTCCAAAATCGACTTTGCCGGAAGCAAACTCTTCTCTCTACATTTGTTTGTTTGTTTTTTTCTGAAGATGTAATATATACTACATAAATCTTACTATAGAGTTCTAGTACAGTACATCACTGCTGTTACACAGAAATCAATAGCAAGCTGTTGGCAGATTCCACATCTCTCGCATTCCTGGCATACAAATGGACCAGAACAGCATGTGCCAGGAATGTCAAAGAAAACCTGTGCTATCAACACTGGAATCCTATTGACAGAATAGTAGAATAGATACAAAAAAACCCCAAACCCAAACAAAACTAAATTCTTACACTCATTGACAACAAAACAGTTGTAAGCAGTGCCACTGTATAGTGAATTACTACACATTGTTTAGAATTTTAGGCCATACTGAATGAATGACATCAATTTATATATTTTCACTGATATTTTTGCTGTAGGGAATATTCTAAATTACTTCTGATTTTTTTCAATATCAAATATTCAATTATTTATTTGATACATAGATACTAAATTGAGTTTAAATACTGATGCATTTGTTCCACTCTCAAAACCAAGTTTTAATTATAATTTATACATCAATAATGAAAGGTTTCGTTATGAATTTTGATAGCTTGAAATCAAGATCTGTGTCCATTTAAACAAAATTCTGGGTTTAGATATATATATTTAAAATCTGTAACCTTAGATAACAGCCTTTTTTCAAGAGAGCCTGTTTGATATGTATAAAGTTGCACAGACTGAATCGATTAATACAAATGTATGAATATATGCATACCAATTAATGTTACCTTTGAATTCCACTACTAAATATATCACAAATACAGAATTACAAAACATGTTTGGTAACCTCATTAAAGGGCAAACTTTTTTTAGTTAACAAACAAGCATAATCCAAATTCCACAGAATCCTAAAGCTTGTATGACTTAAAGTAATTATTTTTCAACATGTAACCTAAAATAAATGGATTGTGTTTGGGGATTTACAACAATATATCCTCATGTCATTTCTGTGACACACAAAGGACCAGCATAGGAACCATTGCACCCTAAAAGGTCAACACAATGTACAATACAAGATATCTAAGGTCATCTAGTACAGTAAACAACTGGTGATTACAATCTATAGGTGGCAAATGTCACCAGGAGGTGTTATCTGTACAACTATAATGAAAAATGAAAGTTACAAATCACAAGTTTTTAAAAACAGCTCTGTGTTCAATTTACCATCAGTTCAAAATCAAAGATTTGAAGCCTTAAAAAACACTTTCTGTAAATAAAACATCCTAATTTTTCATAAGCAATTGATGAAAATGTTAATACATGTACACATTCAGATTAATGTATTATTCTGGGTTTATTTACCAATGTTGGTTCTGAATAAGGTTACTAAATAAGGTTACTATGTGAATTTTTAGAATGAACCACTGGTATTTACATTATTTGACAATAAGACTAGGCCTCGTCTTATATTAAAAAATGTGTGAAAACAACTCGGCAAAAAGTATTGCATTTAACCAAATTTAGTGAAACTGCAAGAATGAATAAAGGGCAACAACTCTGTACATTATACAGATCTAACAAGAACTCCAGGTGGTGTGTCCTATACAGCTGTTCTCAACTTTTCTCAGTTTGAATGACTAGTGTAAATATGGAACAGACACACTATGGAAGCACCTTTTTGTTACACACTCCCAGAATCCTCTTATACTGAATCAACACAGATGGTGATAATAATAAGTAGATATTAGCCATTGCTTTTACTTCCTAGTGTTTTTACATCATCTATATGTCTTTATCCATAACAACTGGTTTTTAAAATATTTTAGAATATCTCTGCAAGACGTAGGGCTATGAATTTGGCTTTAGAAATATTGATCGTATCTGAGTTCATTTCAATAAAATTTCTTGAATAGGTATCTTCCTATTAACTAGGATGTATATGGTACACTATTCACAGTGTTTGTTAAAATGTTAATGGTCAACTTCCAAATTTTGGTCTTTTATTTGAGGCCATCAGACAGAATTTTGGTTTGGTTACCTTAGGAAACCTTAAAATAAATTTTCAAACTGGAAGACTTGATAACCTAAACTTTATTCCTGTAACAGCAAATTAGATGGATATGGCATTAATTGTTCTAGGTTTCATGTTAAACAAGTACGAAATCTGCCATTTACAATGAGTCAATACGCATTTATATCAAACAAATTTCTCAAGCTCAACTTTTTCCTGTATATCACCAACATGTAGTGTTTAAAGCAGTAAGCACAACTGCAAAACATAACATTTTATCTTAATTTATGATAATTTCTAGTATTTGCATCTTTTTAGGCAGTAACCTTCATCTGATAGATGACCAGACAAGTGATTTATCCCATGGTTTACAGCAAGAAAAGGTATCTTCTCGTCAAAATGTGTTATTTTCCGAAAATAAAGCTAAATCTAACAATATTTTCCCAATTTTTATGATGCAAAGGCTGTTGTAATGTCATGGGAGAACCTGTAAATGTATACACATGCACATGGCAAACATATGATGATCCAATTGACAACAACAACAATACCTGTTAAAGATATTGTAAAGAATTGCCGGGCAAATTTTGCTGCAACGCAGAAAGTATAATTGCAATGATATAAGCACCAAAAATTAAGGAATGATATAAGATGTTGTGGGGATGCTGTACATACTTAAGGCATATAATTGTGATTAAGTTCAGAAATTACTGATGACCTTTCAGACAAAACTTGCATTTTAATACTTACCAAAATATTCCCCTTGTGGGGTTTTTTCCATCTCATCTTCTAACTGCTGTGTCAGTGCTGCCACTTTTTTCTCAGCTTCTGTAAGTCCTCTTGGTGACTGGGGTACCTGATATTGCAACTGGGCTTGTGGTTTAACAGCTGCTGAGGGTGGTGTCCGCACCATGTGGGCTGGTGATGAAGGCAGGGACCCCAAAGATGATGGCTGACCAAAGACCTGGGGCTGGGGAGAAGGCTTGGGACTAGTGTAACGGGGATTTCTTGGGGGTAGCACAGGTAGTTCAGTATTGTGGGGACCATGATAAGGTGGGGGAGGCTCCTTCGGAATAGAAGACTGAGAATCCAAGGAATTTTTCCTGGATGTTGACACACGTATATTTTCCTCTAACTGTTGAGTAAGAGCTGTTAAAGTTTTCTCAAAATCTAAATGTTTAGGTTGAGTCTGTTGGTTGATAGGTTTTCTGGCAGGCAATGCTGGAGGGACTGACTGGGAGCTTTTATCAGAACTCACAACCCGATTCATTTGATTATTAAGTAGATTAGTATTAGTCACATTGTTATTGCTGTTGACGTTGTTTGTCTGAGAGTGTGAAATTTGAACACTACTGTTGTTGTGTGGAGTTCTTGCACGAGGATCAGTATAGATATAAGCAGGGGGAGCCCCTTCATTAAAACGACTGTCATTAAGTAGCTGAATATTACTTCTAGGTAGTGACATGGGATGGATTCCCAACTGCATATTTTGTAGACTTTCCTGTGATATTGTTAAACTAGTTCGTGGACTTGGAAATTTATCATAGAGCACTCCAGACATTCCTGCAAGGCTAGTCCGTGGACTCGAAGGTTTCGACTCCAGTGAAGTTGTGCTCAAGCTTGACCTCGGACTGGCTAAACTTGAGCGTGGACTACCCCCCATAAAACGTTGATCATAGGGGGGTGGGGGTGGGGGGTTGATAAGACTAGTTCTGGGACTTGAATTTTTGGAATCACCACCACTACCCATACTTGACCTGGGGCTGGAATAATTAGATCCCTGTTGTCTAAACACATAGTGGCTAGATCCGGAAATATGATGCATTGCGTTTTGGAGAAGCTGTTCCTTGGAAGGCGCTGGGTATGACGTACCCCCGATCACAATACTCCGCTCGGTCTCCACAACCCCGTTACCTATAACGGTAGTGGGTAGCTGACTTTGAGGATTCACTTTCATTCCGCCGTTGTGTATAGACGCACCAAATGGAATATCTAATGACCTGGGTAACTTTTGTGTACTTTCTAATCCCTGGCTGTGTAATCCAGATCGAATGACAGTCTTGTTTTCCGACACGTGAAGATGTCCCTGATTGTTTATAACCTGTCTGCGATCCATACAAACACTTTGTTTAGTTTTGAGATCGTCACCGACGGCAGACGAAGCCCGGTTCGCTATCACCTCTCTTAAGTACGTTAAATCCGCGTTTGAACCGGTAACACCATTTTCAAGATGGTGAGAAAAGTTCTCCATCTCACCATAAATCCATACATTGGTATATTTTCATGTAGATCCAATCAAATCACAAGAAAACCGAATAACACTGTCTCCCAAGCATAACACGGTCTACCACTGTACAATGGCGGTTTGGCGTATTCATATTTACGATAATACACACGAGAAAGTAGTGCTTTTGGGATAATTTCTCCAGTCAACATCACAGTAAAATTATTTAACATTATTAATTTAAGTGAGTGGAATCCGTGAAAACAATATTGGTTTAGCAAATTTAATTGTTATTTAAAAAGAATTTCACCCGAAAATATTTTTGTATGAAAAAACATACGGGACTATGTTTTATCAACGTTTGTGAATAGCCGGAAGTTTGTGTGATGATTAACATAGTCGTAGCATGAAAACACTAGCGAAAATGTTGATAGTATTCGCAGACCATCAAAGCCGCAGACCATGGCAAAACTTACAGATAGAAAATCTATTGTCAAGAAATTGTTGTTTTCTCGCGTGTAATGTGGACAGTAATGTCAAATCATTCTTGATGAAAGCAAAATAATAGCGCCTGCTTAGTAATTGATTTTATAATTGATGACATGTGCTTTGGATTAGTTTGAACAAGGACGAATATTTCACGGATGTTGTTCGTCTTCAAAATATTGCAAACTGTCATTTGATTGACGATTATATGTCACGCCCTAGAATATGTACATAGGAGTTTCGTTTCTTTGTTTTGATTGTTTTGTTTTATTTTCTTTTATTTAAGTCCGATTTCTTAACCAATTACAGGGAAGTATATGTCATATACGTCCCTGCCAATTATATAAGTATGTTTTTTTTTAAATTATTATTTAATGAAGTTAGAACGAAAAGGTGTATATGCCTTATCGAAAGAATAGAAATTTAAGAGGATTCGCCCATAAAAACGTAGATAATTATTGTAAGAAAATAGGAAAAGTTCTTTTGTTACGGGCAAATTCTCTACGTTCTTTGTAATCAATTGCATTTTTGTCGTGTCATGATGATATCATGAAATATGTATTTTAATGACACATATTAGTTAGTTTACTTTCAAGTTAAAGGGGGAAATGTTTATGTCGTCTTATTGTAGAACGATGGTGTCAACAAGTCCACAAAAGTTACCTCCCCTTATTAAATAGTGCCTGCAAGATTTCACTTCTCAACATCTACTAGTTCATCGACCTCCACCAACATGGTGAAGCTTGTGTCAATATGAATGGTGTGCACAGTATACAATAAGGAAAACTTGTGATTTAGCAGAAGTTAGGAGGTTGGTTTTAGAGCCTTTCAGACAGTCAGATGTGACGAGATCCGGAGGCGAAAGTGTGTTCCATTATGGGATAGTTGCAAGGAAGAATCCGTATTTCCGACGATGCGTTCTACAGATGAGAGAGTCGAGTCTGGCGGATCTTTGGTTTTGTAACTAACACTAGAAGTATTATTGTGATATCTGTTATTGACAAAAGCAGAGACATATATACGTCTCTGACAAAACCAAAGTCTCTCTTCGCTGTACCATGTATCTATCTCATTTATCATTGTTGCCTTTTTGAGTCATACACAGTACAGGCATATTCCCAAGAAAGATATAAAAGCTTGTTCTTTAACTGTTTTTGAATTTATCTTGCTATTTTGCCGGACGAAGTCTAAAGACTTGTTAGCTATTTTACATAAATGTACGTTGGTAATGTAGGATTTCTGGTCTTTTGTATCGTTACACCAAAGTACACGGCCTTATGTTGAAGACATTTGTCATGGAGGTAATATTTATAGTTTGTTGGTATATGGTTCATAGATACGGACAGGACACTACATTTATGGGACTGGAACTCCACTTTCCATCTTTTCCCCCCAATCAGACAATTTGTCGGGATCTTTTCATAAAACTGAAGCAAACCTATGTTAAGTGACGGTGATATATATATAATGATGTCGGTGTATAGCACTGTGTGTGTATGTGTGGTGGGGGATGTCGTTTATATAGTAAAGAATACATCTCGTCTGAGGACTGATCCCTGGGACAACCCTCAATACTGATACGTAGGAAGACAGTTCTCAGTTGACAGATTCAATTCTGAATGATAAAAAAGTACATCAAAACAGACTATTTTTCCGAGAAATACCCAAGGAGGCATATAGTATGTAAACATACTATACAGAAAGCGTCAACAAGGGATTCGGTGGATTTTTTTTTACTGAAATGTTAATAAAATTTCCTGCTTAAAAGACGAGTCCCTGTATACTTTCGTACAATAACTGTTCCCGCGAAAAAGTTACCTGTTTAATCTTACATTAATTCCAACCAACAATAAACACTTGTCGGTGTCAGATATAAGTAAGAGAGTGCTCTTGTGTTTATTTTTTTATCATAAGTAAAATATGTTTGGATCTCCTGCACGCTGGGTGATGGTATATTTGAAAGGATGTGATCTGTAATTCTACGAATTATAGGAATTAATGAGGTCCAGCTGGTAGCGCCACATGAATTTGGCACGAATCCGACGGTCCATACATATGTATTATAGTGACATATATATGGACCGTGGGTCGGGAATTCGTGCGGAATCCCGTGGATGATTGTACCTGTTATCATTCTGGTTTGATGTAAAAAGCGAATAATTTTGAGGTCTTTTTACTTAACAACTATTTCCTATGATTTCTAGATTTTTTATACTGAACAGTGTGTAACAAGGGGTCGAACAATATTACATCAATCAGATATCATGACATAGAGAGATTACATACCGACCGATTCAACATTACTACACACAGCTAATACAGTGTTCACTACATCATACATGTCCGAGACATGTCATAGTGCAGAGCATCATATTTTTATATACATATGATAAAAACTCGATAGAACATCAGAATAATTCGGACTACACTGTATATGAGGGTGTCCTTGACGGTATATCGTTTCAAAATTTGAATAAAGATGATGAATTATATCTAGATTTGTTAATATAAAACAAAATGATATTTATTAAGAGATGTCTAAACATTCACATACTGCTAAGTTATGCCAATGTTTATAAGTCATACATTGGGGGAGAGGATGTTGTCCTAATACTTTTCAAACCTTTTACTTTCTCCCAAAGAAAAATCCTCTGTGTCAGGGCTGGGAGGACAATCTGAAATGGTTGGACAGAAACACTGTGTGACAGGGCTGTTAGGACAATCTGAAATGGTTGGATGGTAACACTGTGTGTCAGGTCTGTGAGGACAATCTGAAATGGTTGGACAGTAACACTGTGTGACAGGGCTGTGAGGACAGTCTGAAATGGTTGGACAGTAACACTGTGTGACAGGGCTGTGAGGACAGTCTGAAATGGTTGGACAGTAACACTGTGTGACAGGGCTGTGAGGACAATCTGAAATGGTTGGACAGTAACACTGTGTGACAGGGCTGTGAGGACAGTCTGAAATGGTTGGACAGTAACACTGTGTGACAGGGCTGTGAGGACAATCTGAAATGGTTGGACAGTAACACTGTGTGACAGGGCTGTGAGGACAATCTGAAATGGTTGGACAGTAACACTGTGACAGGTCTGTGAGGACAGTCTGAAATGGTTGAACAGTAACACTGTGTGACAGGGCTGTGAGGACAGTCTGAAATGGTTGGACAGTAACACTGTGTGACAGGGCTGTGAGGACAATCTGAAATGGTCGGACAGTAACACTGTGTGACAGGGCTGTGAGGACAATCTGAAATGGTTGGATAGTATCACTATGTGTAACAGGGCTGTGAGGACAGTCTGAAATGGTTGGACAGTAACACTGTGTGACAGGGCTGTGAAGACAATCTGAAATGGTTGGACAGTAACACTATGTGTCAGGGCTGTGAGGACAATCTGAAATGGTTGGACAGTAACACTGTGTGACAGGGCTGTGAGGACAATCTGAAATGGTTGGACAGTAACACTGTGTGACAGGGCTGTGAAGACAATCTGAAATGGTTGGACAGTAACACTATGTGTCAGGGCTATGAGGACAATCTGAAATGGTTGGACAGTAACACTGTGTGACAGGGCTGTGAGGACAATCTGAAATGGTTGGACAGTAACACTGTGTGACAGGGCTGTGAGGACAATCTGAAATGGTTGGACAGTAACACTGTGTGACAGGGCTGTGAGGACAGTCTGAAATGGTTGGACAGTACCACTGTTGCTGACTTGGAGGAATACGAATATAAACTAAAGGAGTTTTATAAACTGTTCACCCAACATGACCAAAGTTCACGAGGGTTCCCAACATGACACTGCAAGAGGGAAGCCTCATGGGGAACTGCGGTCAGGAGACACGGCAGGTACGGGCCCTCCAGTAGAGGAGATATACTGAGGAATGAATGGTTAGGTTGATAAGTAGTGTTAAATATTAACAATGTTCAACTTTTTATATTTGTTTAACATGATAACCCTGATCAGATCTTATCGTTTTAGATAAAGAAATTTATATATAATATAATTGTTAAGAATTTGTTATTATCATTGTTTCTGTTGTTGTTATTTTGCCTTGTTTTTCTATTTTCGTTGACTTTGTCTGAATTTTTAATTTGTTATGAGACGGTGCTAAATCAGACGTGTCTCTAAAGATCACGTGATCATGATGATTTATTGTTACCAGAAATTGATATCATAATGTGTATGTTTTGTAACTGCACACAGTTTTGTTGTTTATAAAGATAGATTGATAGAATGTTATATACACGGTTTTAGTTTAAGTGATGGAGGAAGTTTTAATTGTGTTCTATAGCTATGCTATTAGCCTCTTTATATCTGTTAAGTCACGGTTGTTTGTGTTCAACATCATCGTAATGGCAAGTCATTTATAGTGTAAAAGATAAAAACATGCTCCATAAGACATCGCCAGGATTCTAATCCTGGGAATTCTCCCTTCAGATAACATTTCCTTTTTTCCACGGAATATTAAAAAAATTTCTTGTAAATATAAAATCTATTTTTTCTTGCTTCTTTCCTGAAGCTTATCATTTATTTATATTACAAATATTCAAAAACTGAAACACCATTCAAAGTACGAAATATAATAAATTGGATTTTTAATGTGTTTTGCACCAGAACTTGATTAAAGCTGGCGTTTCCTATAAAACATATAATAACCATCAGTAAACCATCACAATGTTTGTATACGTAGACATCTTCCGGTATCCTGTTTCTAGAAATGTTCAAAAGCACACATAAACTCATAGGATGTTTAATTGCCACCACATCGGGGGAACTGCTGGGTTTAGTTTCTCTAATTCTCCCCTTCACTAAAACTTGTCCTTTTTATGTCTTATTTTGATTAATACAAACTATGGGACACAATTGTCTTTTCGACACCAAATAAAGTTTCGTACAAGATATGTTTATAATAATAATAATAAATAATGATAAATAAGTAAATAAAGAAGTAAAAATTGAAAATTATTTGAAGAGAGAGGTGGATTGTCATTAACACACGTAAGTAAGTAAGTTGGTGTGAATGTTCCATCCTTAGGACAGGAGACTTTACCTATGTACGTCACTTGTGTGTACATATATAATCTAGTTTCATGTTCAGACAATCGATTTTTCATTGGGAGGCTCGCAGTATGTAAATTGGCTTTATTTATAACACTCACTACCTATAAAGTGTCATTTACCAAAGCAAACAAATAGAGTAGACGGGAGAGAGTGAATGGCAGGCCTATATAATAAATGCATGGTTTATTGGGAACACAATACCAGAGCCGACGTGTTAGTAAGATAGCGTCCGGTAACTAAGGAACGATCCAACCAACCGTGAATCTTAAGTACGAACGGAAGTAACGACACCACGTTTGTATTTCTAAAATATCTCGGAGTTAGGAGAGATACATTGACCGCACGTGAGAGATACTGACATGGCTGGGGCACCTCCTGACAAGGTTGGCAAAGCAGCAGCCGGCTGTAATTTCGTGGCCCAAGATCAGATTTGGTATGTACGTTAGTTTGAAGAAATACATATAATTATCATTGTGTACTGTAGTATATATATACACAACACAGGAGTGTTTACGTATTCTCAATTAATCTACCTAGCTCAAATCCAGCCACCTTTGTAACACACTTTAATCGGCTATAGGTTTGGTGAGTACGTATATAGAGAATTTAAAGCATGAAGATAGCAAACGAATCTAATGTTAACTAACACCAGATCAAATACGTTACAGTTTACCTTTAAATGTTCCAATCAACACGATACGACAATTAACAATCTACATTTACACTGAGTACATTATTGTTCAGATTAAATCACAGGAATGATACTCGACAGGTCGTCCTGGATTTAACATTGATCATTTGACTGAGAATGCTTCGATAGATAAATACAAGGACGTCGGGCGGTCTATAGACATGTTATATATTACAGAAATGTAAATACAAGGACGTCGGACGGTCTATAGACATGTTATATATTACAGAAATGTAAATACAAGGACGTCGGACGGTCTATAGACATGTTATATATTACAGAAATGTAAATACACGGACGTCGGACGGTCTATAGACATGTTATATATTACAGAAATGTAAATACAAGGACGTCGGACGGTCTATAGACATGTTATATATTACAGAGATGTAAATACACGGACGTCGGACGGTCTATAGACATGTTATATATTACAGAGATGTAAATACACGGACGTCGGACGGTCTATAGACATGTTATATATTACAGAGATGTAAATACACGGACGTCGGACGGTCTATAGACATGATATATATTACAGAAATGTAAATACAAGGACGTCGGACGGTCTATAGACATGTTATATATACAGAAATGTAAATACAAGGACGTCGGGCGGTCTTTAAATATGTTATATATTACAGAAATGTAAAAAAAAAAAAGACGTCAGACGGTCTATAGACATGATATATATTACAGAAATGTAAATACAAGGACGTCGGACGGTCTATAGACATGTTATATATTACAGAGATGTAAATACAAGGACGTCGGACGGTCTATAGACATGTTATATATACAGAAATGTAAATGCATGACGTCGGACGGTCTATAGACATGTTATATATACAGAAATGTAAATGCATGACGTCGGACGGTCTATAGACATGTTATATATTACAGAAATGTAAATGCATGACGTCGGACGGTCTATAGACATGTTATATATACAGAAATGTAAATACAAGGACGTCGGGCGGTCTTTAAATATGTTATATATTACAGAAATATAAAAAAAAAGACGTCAGACGGTCTATAGACATGTTATATATACAGAAATGTAAATGCATGACGTCGGACGGTCTATAGACATGTTATATATTACAGAAATGTAAATGCATGACGTCGGACGGTCTATAGACATGTTATATATCAAAGAAATGTAAATGCATGACGTCGGACGGTCTATAGACATGTTATATATTACAGAAATGTAAATACACGGACGTCGGACGGTCTATAGACATGTTATATATTACAGAAATGTAAATGGAAATAAATCCGACCATTTTTAAACATCTGATGTATTTGTAAGTACCAGAATGTGCGACAGTCTATAAAACAGTTAAACCCTCGTAAAAAATGACAATGTAAACACGAAGACGATAAAAGCCGAGGATTAAGCTATAAAGACATCACACAGTGTAAACCATTAAATAGAACTCTGATAACATGTTCGACACACAGTTACGGCGTCAGTAATTCCATAGTCATCGGTTTATTATCGACCACGAAGAACAATACAAACATATTACAGAGATGTATATACACGGACGTCGGACGGTCTATAGACATGATATATATTACAGAAATGTAAATACAAGGACGTCGGACGGTCTATAGACATGTTATATATACAGAAATGTAAATACAAGGACGTCGGGCGGTCTTTAAATATGTTATATATTACAGAAATGTAAAAAAAAAAAAGACGTCAGACGGTCTATAGACATGATATATATTACAGAAATGTAAATACAAGGACGTCGGACGGTCTATAGACATGTTATATATTACAGAGATGTAAATACAAGGACGTCGGACGGTCTATAGACATGTTATATATACAGAAATGTAAATGCATGACGTCGGACGGTCTATAGACATGTTATATATACAGAAATGTAAATGCATGACGTCGGACGGTCTATAGACATGTTATATATTACAGAAATGTAAATGCATGACGTCGGACGGTCTATAGACATGCTATATATTAAAGAAATGTAAATGCATGACGTCGGACGGTCTATAGACATGTTATATATTACAGAAATGTAAATGCATGACGTCGGACGGTCTATAGACATGTTATATATTACAGAAATGTAAATACACGGACGTCGGACGGTCTATAGACATGTTATATATTACAGAAATGTAAATGGAAATAAATCCGACCATTTTTAAACATCTGATGTATTTGTAAGTACCAGAATGTGCGACAGTCTATAAAACAGTTAAACCCTCGTAAAAAATGACAATGTAAACACGAAGACGATAAAAGCCGAGGATTAAGCTATAAAGACATCACACAGTGTAAACCATTAAATAGAACTCAGATAACATGTTCGACACACAGTTACGGCGTCAGTAATTCCATAGTCATCGGTTTATTATCGACCACGAAGAACAATACAAACATTGATTTCTATATACATAGACACATGCCACACACCAAGATAACTTAATTAAAATATCACGCGCTTCAATATTAATAAAATAAGTGTGTTGATATTTTTTCAGTAGACCAGTTGTCAGATAAGATTGAATGATATTACTCTAGCCATAGTTCATTATTATGTAGGTATTTGTGGGTACATTCAATCGATAAATGATTAAGTATGGAAGCTAGCCACAGCTGATTTCTTACCTGAGATATAGTTCCCCTTATTTTTGAAAATAAAGAATGAAAACAAGGTTTCTTTTCCGTATGTTAATAAGAACTCATATGGACGCCGATTGGTCGGTTTTCTATTATTATAAAGATACAATTAACCCATGATTTAAGTAGATTTTAAGGATTTTATGCTCATATCAATATGACACACAGCGTGGAAGAATATATCTACGAAGTGAAAAATATCGAATATTTAATTAATCAAACACCATTTCAGCCGGCATGTTTGTAAATAATGTTCTCTTTAAACTGGCCTTGTTTGTCTGGAACTTAAGGAATTGATATAGTAACGACACTCAATACGAAGTGTAATTGTAATTTAGCCTCGAAATAGGATGGAAACACATATGTTTTAATTCATAATGACTGACATAATTAAATTTAGTGGTTGAGTTTTTTTTAATTTGATAATCTGACATTTGGTTAATTTGACGTGGTCTACCATCAAAGTCGTCCATTGTTTTGATAAACGTCCCTGATTTAGTTTAACTTTCCTGTAATTTAACCTTACTTATCTAGCTATGGATTAAACATATATGGCAATTCCTATTCAGACCTTGTCTGTGTAGGGTCGATACTAAGTGTAAATATGTTAATGCTTTAACATGTGTGTTTGTTACTCTAGAACAATCCCAGATCAGGCTAGACAAGAACCGGGTCCTGACAATAGACACCTGTAGGACTATTAAAATGGAAACTGATCTAATGCATGTTTTTAAAAAGCGTATGACTATGATATTGACAGAATATCAAAACGATAACAGTTTTTAATCGACGTTTTCCACTCGTAACAAAGAATTGTTTTTAAAACATTCAGTGTTATCTCCCTGACATGCCATTGTGTGGCATCAACATCTCTATCCTATATTGTACTTACCCTGTAGAGAGAGTCGTCTACTGAAACAATAAAGACGATACGTGACATATGATGTGTTACTTCTTTACGACAACTGATCCAAACGATATAGCTTTCATTTTATGTCCTGTCATGGGACTTTGGGAAGCTTGACTTTTACCTGTAACAATGCTCAGCTCACTACCACGATGTACATATAACGATAAGTATAAACATGTTAAACAAGGGTCCACATAATAGTAAAATGTTTGTAAAATCAAAAAGTTACAGTTTCAATATCATCACAGTCACTTACTCTTCCGGAACACTTGGTCTTATTCTCCTTGCACTTTTTCAAAAATCCGTCTTTTGTTCATATATTATCGTATTATATCGAATTTGAGTTTGCATTATGATTATGTTGATATATTGGCATTACATTCGTGTAAAGAGAGGGATACCCAAATTAATCAAAGTGTTTAGTCAGCATTTTTCTTTGAATAGGTGAAAGACCAAATATACACAAGAAAATAGAAGTTGCTAGACAAGGAAGACATATTCAGTCTACAGAACACATTCATTATATGATCATTTTTCACAGTGTCTCTGCTTCCCAAGCTTATCGAACATTCAAAAGCGTGTTCAACTCTGTCGATTTCCAATTAAAGATGTTCCCGGGAGATGGACAAACCTTTGAATCTTGAGGTTTTTTTTAGAGATGATTGTTGATGAGATCTGTAGCCTACAGAATTAAAAATACACAAAAAAGATATATTCAGTTTTTACAACTAGGTCACTTTATTAATTTATGTGGACCTTGAGTTGTGATCCTCTCTACAAACATGCTGAATTGGTATATGCTCGCGTCATTAGTTCGATACCTACCTTTCATGTGAATTCAAGGCATTGGCATTTTTTATTTTCTCGACCAGAATTATATAGTACTTTACTCTGCTGACTTACTTCTTCCTGTGTTGAGGTTACTGACTATAAGACCTGCTATCTGATGCCACAAGTAGCTTTTGACTTTGAGACAGAACTCTCTAGCAACATTTACAATTACAAAAAGTGTTAGAGATCAAAATCGAAGATTACGAATATTATTCATATTAACTCCGCGTGGTTACCCGTGCTATATCTGGTAGTTGTACATTGGGCGTGATGTCGTCTTTGATTTAGGGACATCATAATTGATTTGAGTGTTTAGATGATAATGAGTAAGTGATGTTGGTACAGGAGTTGTATAGAACATTTAGTACAATGCCGGTCCTATTGGTTACATTATATCTTTGTGATTTTCAATGTCTGCTCGCATGTTTATAGGAAGGACCATGTCCAACACGAGGAGGATGCGTCGAAGACCTGGCCAAGGAGTTGGGGCTTCCTTACCACGAAATATGAGGATGTGAGTGACGACACTTTAGCTATGCTACCTTAATAGATCATTTCAATATACATTTTATTGTCGAAATTCCACTGGAGAGTATTCATACATTCTAATTTATTTCACAATTATGTAACTAATGGCATGCCTTACATGTATCAGGTATATCACACCTGACAAGATCAATAGAATGACACATACTGTATTTTTTTGGATAAACAGTACTCGCTGAATTCATTTGTAATATCAGTTCATGTTAAGTGCACAAAATCATCGAAAATAAAACCCCCACTAAAATGAATAATTTTAGAGTAACAAGCCTATGAATTGTTCTTTTTCATATTTATTATCATTTCCTAATGATCTTTACTACCTACCAAAACAGGATGGAGACATTTATTGGCAGGCAAGTATGGGACAGGCCCGTGTACAAATATATCTTTGTTCTGATCGTACATGTGATAACACCGCATTCTCAGCTCAATTGGCGTAGATTTTTCCAACATTCATTCATCAATTACGCTACAATGAAAAAGTTGTCAACAGCCAAGATAGAATCATGTTGGCTTATACTTATAATCAGAAAGGGCTGCAATGACCATTACATTCGGTAACATTCTAAACTGTTTTTATATCAATAGTGATGGGAAAGTACATCATTCGAGGCGAGCCCTTAAAACTTTAGCCTACATTACCGTCATTACACCGAAGTCTAACGAATTTTACTAATTGAGCTCAGAACGAATGAATGTGTTTTTAATGATTAGATAATTATATTGCTTTAATTAATGCTACCAACCAAACAGACAACAGAATACCAAAGGGAAAGGATATCGTTTTCTTAATACCAACAATAACAATGACGGCGGAACCATAATCCAGAAAGGTGTATTATCTTTTTTATGATGATATCAAATTAGTAGACAGAACTACAGGGAGACGGAGCTTATATTGTACGCTTGTGTTTGATGTAGAAGGTTTGTACAGATGTCCCGGAGCTGATGAAGACTACTATAGTACAGATAGGTGTGAAAGGATAGCATTATATGAAATATTGTTAAATATAAGTACCATCAGTATTTTAACGGTTTACATAAATATCGTCTACAACCATCTTTCATTGTATGTAATTCCCTCATCCTAGCCTCATCATGTCATCAACACTAGTGTGTGACCATTTCACCTTCTTAACAGATAATTGTACAAAAGACAATGAATAGCACCTTACCATACAAATACAGAATGAGATGACGTTTAGCCAAATAATGAATCAAACTAAATCATATTTATCATTTCGATATGACGGCATTGTTTTTGTACCGTGTGATATTTGTTCTGTTAAATATAGCTGGGGGAAATTTATATTTAAATCTTACATTCATAAAGAATAAAAGAAAATTACAAATATCACAAACAAAACCAACAATACCTTTCGGTATAATGTCGTATACAATTTCAGAATATATCAAATTATTATACCTATTGAGAATTGTGACACGGCTCAAGGCGTCATATCAATAAACAAATAGAGTTTACACTTATTATCATTGATATAAATTACAAGTCTAAAATATCGTGTCTTCTCTGAAATAAACCCCATTAATAAACAAGTCACGGACATCGTACACATTTCTTTCATATTCTCATCTATACAAATCCTGTATTTAAATTATTATCGTTCATTGAATGATCATTGTAGATACGTATCACATTAATCATACACTAACAATTGTTGGTAAAGAAACACATTCTGATTAAGTCCAGTTGATATACAGCATCTCGTGTAATTCGTGTATTTCAATTCTAAACTATTTCTACAGATGTCTCATGTTTTAAAACATATAGATTTACTGCTGTGGAATCCTGTACCAAAAATACCTATGTACTCACAATACCGTCTCCTGTCCGATCTCATTTCAGTCACGGATTTTTTCATATATTCATATTTATATCATACAATACACTATTGTGTACGATATTTAGTAGGCGTATTGTTCTTGTGGTTTACATTTTCATATGTAAAATCATAAAGATGGATCAACCGCTTAACAAAAGTAATTTCAGAGTAGCGATCGCCTTGACAGGTCACGTGCACCATTAACTCTGATAGAAAATCACGTGTGTCTTTAACTTAAGGCCAGAGGTTACTTGTATCGATATTTTTAGCGAGATGTCACGCGTACGATCAACTTACAATGGAAAGTCACGTGTGTCATTAACTTGAGATGAAATGCCACCTATATCATGATGACGAGAGGTTACCTGTATTTTTCACGCGCAATGAACGGTCACGTGTACCATTGGTTAATTTTGGGAGCTCACGAATGCCATTTAGTTACCGTAGGGGTACAGAATGTGTCTCTTTACTAACAACTCATGTCAGAGTTGTGTCATTGATGTTTAATGTACTAGTTCATACTCTTAGTCTGAATAATTGTGGTTCATCAGTAATATAGATAAGGAATTTAATTGTGGTACATCAGTAATCTTAGTAAGGAATTTAATTGTAGTACATCAGTAATCTAAATAAGGAATTTAATTGTGGTACACAAGTAAACTTATCAAGGAATTTACATGTAATTGTAAATACACGATTCGACACTCCCCAACATCCTTTTATCAGAACGAATTAAGATTGCCTGAAGATTTTGGTGGGTTTTGAATCTTTGACAACAGCGTGCTACGGGTATGGTTTGTCGGGCTGGGATTGTTCATGTGTGTCTTTATTTTGTACCATGGAACGGAATGTTTTATGTGTGGAATGAGAAGGATGAGGTTTGTTTAAGATGTTATTGGTTAAGGATGACTTAACATATATCCTTGATATGTAACGTTGCTACTGGAAATATAAACAAGATTGTTTGGTGGCAAAAGACAAAGAAAATGTTTTCCCTATCATTTCGGAGAGAAGAAAGAAGTAGATAGATAATAGAAGGAAAATAAGACTTGGTCATATAAGAAATTCGGTGAAAATTCTAAAGACTTTAATGGTTTCTGTTAATTAAAAATGCCATGAATGTAGATATTGTTTTGTGTCAGGTATTTTAGCATATTAAAGCAATTTAGTGAAGATGTCTTAAGTTAACAGGACAAGCATGATGTTTGTATCACGACGCCATCATTTCTCCCATTGTATTGACAAGATAACGAGCCCCAGTGATTCATCAACATCTTCCAGTGACCATAACTGTCCAACAACTTGTTGATTATCGATACCGTACTTTACGCTGTATTATTTCTTTATATAAAAAGTGTACGCCTATCCTTATCTGTATCATGTTTCTATAACAGTTGGTGAAAGACGACTTTCCGGATTGGGACAAAAATAAGAAGACTGAGCCAATGTTCCAAATGAAACCAGTGACACCGATCGAGGATTACATCCACGTGGAGCCTTCACCAAAACCCTTCCCTAAAACTACGGCACGTGATATCGGCTGGAGGTCTACAAACCCAACTAACAAACTGGAGAAATACGGAAAGTACGCTAAACCTAAAGGAGGACTTATCCGCCAACTTAACTGGCCCACAGAGGCCATCAACTAATGTAGGATACATAATTTCATAAAAGGTTAATGATGAACTTTGAGGGGGTCTACAACATTTCTCGTCAGCCAGTGGTGGAAGGGTAGCCGATCTCGGGATACCTATCGGAGAGGTCCTGAGAGGATCACAGTGATCAAACTCGTTCGTCAATTGACAGAGCTGGTAACTGTGGAGTATTTATACAGTATGTGCTGACAATGCCTTCTTGTTTTCTTTAAAGCCTTTGATATTCATATGATACTAGTCTATCTCTGCATTGTGAGAGACATACAGGAAGATTGTAATGCATTATAAACATATCGATGATAGAGATAATTGTTAATTGATTCCAACAGGAAACAAGATTGGTTTCATCCTTTATTTACAATTAGATTATTAATCAGATATATAATAGGACGTAGTGGTAAATCCTATATTACATACAAGTACAGATGTACTGGAGACAGTACTAATTAGTAGGGGGAATAGTCGATATATCTTTGTTAAAACAAGACGCCACTAATGGATGATGATACCATTGCTATAATACTGTCAACTCTCACCAGTAACCTATTGTGTCTTTGTGTATTTCGAATAGCAGAATTTTAATTAAATCAATTATCCATAATACATATATCATGATCGACTTACACGAGTTGTAGAGACAGTCACCAGCAGATTTAGCAGTGTACAGTTATCTACAGTAATTGTAAGTAATTAAGTATTATGAAATTGATAACAGTGGTAAATTTAGTCATATTATTTGTGTAGTAATCTTGCCTTAGAATTATTTTCAGATGAAATATACAAAATTACATTTGAAAACCTAAATCACTAGTGGAATAACTAACATCATTCACTCACCAGATGTCGAGATTTGTAAGCACTACCTTTCTTAAACTACCTTGTCTCTGGTACAACGTTCAAACGCGAATGGTATAACGTAGATTTATTTATACAGTGAACAGTTAGCACTACTCACCAACTTACCACTAATTGTGCCAGCCCGTCCCCTACTACCATAAAAAACAACGTTACATACACTGTCAATAATTGTGCGACCCCGCCCCCTACCACTATAAAAACAACGTTACATACACTGTCACTGATTGTGCCACCCCGCCCCCTACCACCATAAAAACAACGTTACATACACTGTCACTGATTGTGCCACCCCGCCCCCTACCACCATAAAAACAACGTTACATACACTGTCACTGATTGTGCGACCCCGCCACCCTACCACCATAAAAACAACGTTACATACACTGTCACTGATTGTGCGACCCCGCCCCCTACCACCATAAAAAACAACGTTACATACACTGTCACTGATTGTGCGACCCCGCCCCCTGCCACTTTAAAAAACAACGTTACATACACTGTCAATAATTGTGCGACCCCGCCCCCTGCCACTATAAAAAACAACGTTACATACACTGTCACCAATTGTGCGACCCCGCCCCCCTACCATTATAAAATACAACGTTACATACACTGTCAATAATTGTGCCACCCCGCCCCCTACCACCATAAAAAACAACGTTACACACACTGTCACTGATTGTGCCACCCCGCCCCCTACCACCATAAAAAACAACGTTACATACACGTATGAATAACCTAGATCAATACTATTACATGTTGGTTTCCGTCTGTTGGAACAAAATTGTATTCACCAAGTTATATAGGTAACATAGCCCTGAATTAGTTACTGTGCACGGTTTTGATTTCTCGTAGTTAGTTAACACATGTGAAGATATTTTAGAACTATTGTTAGGCACAGTAACACTTTAGTTCATTTTGGTGCTTTGTACATAGATCCCGTTAACATTGTTACATAATTATTACACTCAGGTCTGGTCATCTTTATTTAGGTTATTTTGAGATTATATTTCGTACTAACAGTGAAATTTGTTTTATTTCAATTTTCTATATTTTTTGCTCAATTGATCCGATTTAGATAATGCTTGGAATAACCGTATGTTATTAGACCCTTGGCTATACTGATGTGTACTGGGATCTTTTATCAGTAGTATTTTATTCAGAAATTCGTTCATATTGCGTAGATTCACGTTTTTGTTTTTCTTTTGCTTGTTGTAGTATTATTTTTTCTATATATAGTCTCTTTTGAGACCGGTGGGTGTGGTGACATTATAGACACACAAAGCGTTTTATTATTAGAGCACATAGACACAAAAAAACCAAACGTCTTATTAACTTTGGCCGCTTGAAACGCAAGGTTTCGATAACAGAACTTACTTTTGGAATCTAGTAATACGCTATAAGAAACAATGAAGACTGTTTTGATGATGCGTGGTGAATTTAAACCACGATGTCAATTCATATGTCACTACACGAACATCTTCGTCTTCGACTGAAATTGTCTGATCGGAAAACGAAATATTTCCACACGAATATAATTGACCACGACTCTGTGCTGTTTGTGTGTGGTTGAATACATTTTCGGTGTGTTTTGTGTGAATGGCTTTGATTTGCCTGTGATCAGTATTATTGTTGTTAAACCAAAGTTTATGCTGTTTTGTCAGCACTCTATTTAAGTCTTTATTAGCGTATTACTCAGCAAAGTGTTACACTTCGGTGTTATTGAATAAAATCTTTCAGACAAACCTCACTTGTTGTTGTTGGGTTACACATGGCGTATGAAATGGTCTGATGATTAAGTATTCATAGGTTCAGTCGTACACATATGTTGTTGTCACAACTCTTGCAATTTAAACATAAATTTTGATTTTACAGCATGCAACTGTTTTCTACATCTTCCCATTTATGAAAATTAAATAATGTCTAATGAAACAGAACAGGAAGAAAACACGGCACATATTTACCAACAACATTTAATTAACATAATGAGAATCGATCAGCACATCTTCACGATTATCAACACAACACAGATAACGTGGAATGTACCAAAAGCGATTCTCTAGAAAGAGTTCTTTCCCTTGAACACAATGATAAACAGTGCTACAAAATGTATTTTGGTGACATCTGATGATATGTAAATATTTTTTTCAAACTGGTCTTAATTGAAGGCTCTGATTTTCTTGGGTCAAAGCTACAATTACTTATAAGTATAGCCTTATCCATGGTAAGATTAGGAGTGATGTGACTTGAGTAGGCTGATCAAAGAAAACACGTCAGAACACCAATCCAATCGTCAGAGACTGCGACAAGGAAACAGTCATCAAACCAATTCTATATTGAACTTGAAGTCAGTAATTCTAGAAATAATTATTGGCTTAAAACAGAAAATGAAACCAACTGGTTCACTTTTCATCGTGGTTTAATCATTAAGGTCCATCATCTCACAGGGGCGGATTTAGAGGGGGGCGTGGGGGGGCGCACCCCCCCCTAAAATTGGCAGAGTAAGGGTGAGTTACGAAGTATACTGGATGGTGTTGGTCGTATGTTATGACTATCACTGTTCTAAACAGCTATAGATGACTTAAGTTGGGCTAATTTTCAAGTATACAGTAACTTTATTATAGTTGATCACATAACGACAGGAAGAGTTATCTCGATTATATGAACTCTTTCGAAAATGAAGGCCATATTAGAGCAAAATGTGTCATTGTTGACATAGTATGAAACTGTAACGACGGTACAGTAGTCTCGAATATGTTTCAAAAGAAAATTGAATGTTTTTTTAAAAGGCGAGAGTAAGTATTTATGCCAAATAATTTCTTTAACTGTCACATGAACTGTAGACAAGCAGGCCTTGGCTTGCCAACACCCCCCCCCCCCCCCCCCCCCCCCCAACCCCTCCCATCGCCCCCGCGGTGGATGATCATACACACTTTTGTAGTAGCCTTGTGTCACCGGTTATGGCGCACTTAAGAAACGATCTTCGATTACAATTTCATTTTGCAGGATTTTGAACTAAAAACTGTTTGGATATATTGAAACATGTGTACTATAAAATGCATTCAACAAAACAGCTGTTGAAGCCTACAAATTTCTTAAAACAATTTTCTAAATTTTAACGAAAATTCGATCACCCGTAATGGCCGGCATGTATTTTGGCGCAGCGGTCGTCTTTCCTTCTGCAAATTTTGGGAAATAGGCTAAAATTTGGAATAGTTTTAACTGCCTAGAGAACCTCCAGAAAAGACATGAATTTTCTCCGCATTCTAGGTAAAATTGGTAACACTTTTCCGGCTTTGCACATAAAGAGTGTTAGGTGTTGGCGTGTGTTGCATTTAAAAATTTAAAATACATGTAATTCTTGAAATACATAGCCCAAAACGACATTTCTTTGTCATTCAAATTTTGAAGTCTTATTCTTTGTTGTGTTCATAGTACTTTCCGTAAGTTAACGAAGTTTGATTATGTGAAATTCACCTTATTTGTCCGTCTATCCAGAAGTTTAAAGGGTATTACATTTGTATATATTAGTAGAAATAACAGAGCATTAATAACTTCATACAGGCAGCCAGGCACATTGACGCAAATACAAGTGCAAATACAAAAGCACACCAAAAAAGGTCTATATCACAACGCTTATTAATAATGTCTAATGACATGCTCATTAGTAGCTTTTCTTACTCCTTACTTTTTTAGTTTTCCTATATATGATATTTTTTCGTAAACAACGCCTCCTCAAGTCCCTAAAACCAGTCATTTCCTAACGGTTTTTTGGGAGGTTTAAACCTGTTTAAACCATTTTCCGTCGGGGGGCTTCGCCCCCTTGAACCCCCCACCAGGGCTAGGCGGCCCCCAGACCCCTCGCCTGTAAGTTAATTATAACGCCCCCCCCTAACTTAAATTCCTGTATCCGCCCCTGATCTCAAAAGGAATTAACAACTTAAAAATATATGGTTGTGTGCAAGAGTCTTTTCTTTCTTGCTTGCATGGAGATATCCTTCTTTAATTACAAGTACCAAAAAACAACAAAGGAAATGTCAACATCTCAAATGCATCGTTATTCAAACACAAATCAATGAAACTATCGCGAAATCAGAGTATACAGATTTGTAAGGACATAACCAGGATTCCGCAATGCTGTCTTCTGTTTCACCGACACCCATTGTGTAGATATTTGTCAATACATGTAAACAATGCCACGCTCCCAAATGAGGAAAAGCTGAACAAGGAATCTTCAGTCAAACTTACAAGCATCAGACGCGTCCAGCTTGCAGCGAAAGAAAAAGAAGATAGCTTGCTGTTAATTCGCTCATTGCCTTTTACAAGACGTGAAACTGGATCGGCCCAAAACCAGCTCTGTGAAAATACTTAATATTAATTCATAAACAAAGCATTATTAACGTTTTGAAACTCTTCCTCCATATTTAGGTAAATTGTGTAATCGGCATCTTCAGAGGTGGAATTTCGACAAAACTTGAAATTTATCTGGAACACAGGGACTCGGCATGAATTCCCAACCCATGGACCATATATATATATATATATATATATTATATACTACATATATTTGGACCATTGGTCTGGATTCGTGTCAAGTCCCTGTGATCTGAAACATACGAATATCTTTTCCTTTAAAAGGGCAACTTCCGAACTCTCAGAATTTGATCTCTTTGAGTTTGAACAGAATTTTGTGTGTTCTTTGATGTTGAAATATGTCTCATAACAATACAAACCTGTTTTACGATAGTTACCAGTAAGTAGTAATTAAAATGCTTATCAAGTTCGTGGTACTTGGTATATGCATAGTCACCATTGTTGGTCATTGAGACTTTTCTTTCAGTCAGAGCAATGCAATTTGGTGGTGAAATATGTGCAAGTCTAGTAATGTGAAAGTAAACAAACCATATATGGTAATTTGTTAATAGCATATGACATAGGACCCAACACGTGCGAAACATCAGTTTTAATTAAATTCGCATATTAAAAACCTGTCTGTCACAACAGATAATCTAGTCTAAAAAAAAACAACGCAACAATTTCCTGTTTCCGTCCGGCCGAGATTAAAGAACTGTTTCAAATGTGCCGTTGCACCAGTACAAACCTTAGAAATTAAACAGTTGTCTCCCTTTGACCAAAAGAAAAAATAACTCGGCACACGAAAGTTTAACATGTACTATTTTAATAAAATCTCATTCCTATGATGACATAGCTGTACAACAGTGTGGAAATAAAGAAAAGCACACCGGACAGGGAAGCATGCAGGGACAGCATAAAATAACATCTCAATAATCACCGTTGTACTTAATACATATCTTGTTATTATACAGTATACTTCCTCTTTCCCATAAAAATATACCCTTCATGAGTACTATACCTCACCATCCCTCCTGAAAATATTGAATTACAAATATTATATTCAAAACACACACACCAAAAAATAAGAGAGAGAGAGAATGTAAAAAGTGGCGAAAAATTGCAACAAATACAATTATATAATGATCTTGCAAGAAGACTTTAAAAATGATTGGAAACTTTTTTTAAAAAGTTGTTATCATTGAAAATAATTGTCTCCCATCCATATCAATTGAAACTAATTCATTTTTGTACACAATAGTAAAATAATACTGCATACTGTGCTTGTTTTATTTATCTAATAACAACAAACCTTTAATGCTGTACATACCTCAAAAACAATACTTTCACAATAATGTTCCCAGTGTTAGCTAGTGTTCAGAGTTCTAACACAACAAATTTGACAAAAACATTTTCACAACAGGGTGTAACTGCCTGGATAAGGAAGTTTCACGAATAAAAGTAGCTTAACTTGAAGGGAAATGAATACCATGTTGTAAATCTGTCAAAATAAATATGAACTTCAACTACTTTCACTTTATTTTAAATTTCAGCTGATAGTTGTATATTCCTAAACTCGATATGTTAATTAATAGATATGTAAAGCTATGTGTTTTGTATGAAAGCAGAACACACATAATGAGATTGCTAATGGTTCAGTATTAAGTACATTGTCAGGGAATATGTAAACCTGTTGTATTAGGTAAAGATGAATATTTAAATAAAATGTTCTTACATGTATACATAGTACAAAATATTTTGTGGCATGATATTTTTTTATACTGACTGTTCACTAAGTGGTCAATTTACCTGAATTACACTTCTTTTGTGTCATAAATCTACAGATTATACAGTTGGTTGTAAACGTCAACAAAAGGTTCAAAGTTGTCCTGTTCAACGACACACAGACTCAAATAAAAATCTGATATGGAATGCATACAACAAGGACAATTTTCAAGATTCTATAATTTCCTAAACACTAAATAACAAAACAAACACAAGTTGTAACATTATTATGCTACAGTAAGTAAACAAAGTTTTAACCATACACAAGTGTTGATACAAAGTGACTTTGGTTGGAAGGTTGGTATTTAAGATTGAACTATATTGTATATATGACAATTACAATAGAAATAAATCTTTAGTGAAGATTACACTGTATTTTTTGTTATGAAATAACCCTAATGCACATGGTCAATATAAGATGTGATGAACATCTAAATAGTAGCTTTTCTTTTAAATTTGTATATTTTAACCTGTTGAAGATCAAGTTACATCATCAGATGTGGCATATACGCAATATACAAAAATGAAGAGACCATGGAGATTAAGAAAATCAGTTGGTAACATCATTTTAATAAGTAACAGATTTACATATTTATGTAGAACTTGTAAGCACTCATGTTAAATGGAGTTTACATTTATTCTGTTATATCAAAAAACACAGTAGAGAGGATATTAAATGTCCTGATGCAACTCAAAATGAAACTTAAAAAAGTGATGTGCAAATTTCAATATTAAAACATCGCAATGATGTCAAAAAACAACATGAAGGGACATCGCAATGACATAGAAAAATAGTCAACTCTGTTTTATAAGGTAAATTCATTTATGGATGTTTTGCTTTATACAGACAGTAGGCTTCCCCTAAAATAAGGCTTACAGAACACTGCTACCTAAAACATGTTTACAGGATCAATTTGCATAAAGAGTAAAGCGTATTTTTGAGGACAAAAAGGTTCAAATAAAAATAATTTTTTAAAATTTTAACTTTTCATAATGAGTGCGTTATCAATCATTCTAATAGAGAGTATGATTTAATAGTGTAGTTTGTACAAAATAATGTATACTTAAACTTGTGATATATAAAGACAGTAATATGAAAACATGAACAGAAATGTAACACTGACTGAAAACATCAAATCTTAATTTGTTTAATAAAATAAACGTAAAATATTAAAAACATTCCTTGACTTTTTATATTGATAATCATAATATTGAAGCATAAATGTGAAAATAAAGACAATAAAAAAGCAACTATCTCAGTCTTTTGAGTAAAGTTTAAAATAAAACAATTTGGAGATGTAAAATGTAATACTAATTGTAATAAAATACCAAATATATCATAAACAAGGATACAATTCTAGACTTTAATTTAAACAGTCATAATTTTCTTAAATCAAAAAACGAAGATATGGTTGTTCAATTGAACACCACAAAATAACCACTAGGGTCTTAGTTACATCTACCTTGGTCATTAAGATCTAGATCTTTAAACATCACTGATACTTACACAATTGTAAAATACTGCTGGACAAACCTGATGAAAGCAGTCCAAAATTTGTTATGAAATATTGAAATCTACCTCTCACACTATATACCCATAAACTGATGACTTATTTTGTCATTTGTTACCTCAAATCCACTTACAACTTTATGACAGCTGTTTGTTTTGACTTCAATCATTGCTATTGATCTTGTGTTCAGGATTGTAACAATTACTCACAAGTGGTCCAAAAGATAAATGACAAAACATCCTTCTTAGAAGCTGGTTCCTCTTGATTCATGTTTCCTGATTTGGCCTTGATGTCAGCTGTTGAACACTGTTGGATTAAATATGCATTACCTATAAGATTAGATCTGGAGAGTCTCTAACATGGCTGCGACAAGCTTCTGTAAATCCTTGCTTCGTAAGGCCCCAGTTTCAAGCACTTCTTCATGGTTGGCGATCTGTTCAGAGTCATACTGCATCACAGCTTTATTAGTGACCAAAGACATTCCAAACACCTCCATCCCACAATGGGCTGCTACAATCACCTCCGGACATGTACTCATACCTAACAAAGACAGGAATTGGTTGATATCTCCATGTGAGACATTTAATTTTGATTTTGTTTGATGTTCAGAAAAGCAACTGGCAAAGGAAAATTTTTAAAGATCAGAAGCATTTATCATTTCATATCAAGGAACAAGATACATATCTCATGTCTCTATTAAAGATATACAAATATTTACAATATATAAATAAAACAAGACTTAAAGTTATCAAACACAAAGTATGTATCAAACACACAGTAGGTATTGTTATGTATCTTATTACAAATTTCTTTACATTTCATGACAGAGGACTGTGGAGAAGTAAGGCAGAATTTTTACCAGTGACATCAACTCCAATCATGCTGAGGAATTTGCACTCTGTGACAGTCTCAAACGATGGTCCAGCAAGCATACAGTAAACACCCTCATGGATATTGAAGTCTTTGAATCCAAGAGTCTTGGCTGTCTCTTTAGCGTGATCACGAAGACGTTTGGTGTATGCTTTTGAAATGGCAGGAAAGCGAGGACCAAACCTTAAGAGACAAAACGGATGATGATTTTAGTTTAGTTATCTGCTGGAAATCTGGTGAAACTTGAAACAAATTTATGTAATTTATATCCCCTGCTTTCCATGATTATTTGTAAAGAAGCTAAAGTCTGGCTCAATAAGGTACGATACATCATTATACTGAATTTCCTTGAATCTATTGACATTTAACAGAGTTATCAAACAAAAAAATGGTTAATCAGGTAAACATGAACGGATGATGTTGGTAGGCTAAATCATATAAACACTGAACTAGATAGAAACAGTATGATGTATATACACTGAACTAGATAGAAACAGAGCATGATGTATATACACTGAACTAGATAGAAACAGAACATGATGTATATACACTGAACTAGATACACTGAACTAGATAGAAACAGAACATGATGTATATACACTGAACTAGATACACTGAACTAGATAGAAACAGAACATGATGTATATACACTGAACTAGATACACTGAACTAGATAGAAACAGAACATGATGTATATACACTGAACTAGATAGAAACAGAGTGTGATGTATATACACTGAACTAGATACACTGAACTAGATAGAAACAGAACATGATGTATATACACTGAACTAGATACACTGAACTAGATAGAAACAGAACATGATGTATATACACTGAACTAGATACACTGAACTAGATAGAAACAGAACATGATGTATATACACTGAACTAGATACACTGAACTAGATAGAAACAGAACATGATGTATATACACTGAACTAGATAGAAACAGAACATGATGTATATACACTGAACTAGATAGAAACAGAACATGATGTATATACACTGAACTAGATACACTGAACTAGATAGAAACAGCATGATGTATATACACTGAACTAGATAGAAACAGAACATGATGTATATACACTGAACTAGATACACTGAACTAGATAGAAACAGAACATGATGTATATACACTGAACTAGATACACTGAACTAGATAGAAACAGAACATGATGTATATACACTGAACTAGATAGACTGAACTAGATAGAAACAGAACATGATGTATATACACTGAATTAGATAGAAACAGAACATGATGTATATACACTGAACTAGATACACTGAACTAGATAGAAACAGAACATGATGTATATACACTGAACTAGATACACTGAACTAGATAGAAACAGAACATGATGTATATACACTGAACTAGATAGAAACAGAACATGATGTATATACACTGAACTAGATAGAAACAGAACATGATGTATATACACTGAACTAGATACACTGAACTAGATAGAAACAGAACATGATGTATATACACTGAACTAGATACACTGAACTAGATAGAAACAGAACATGATGTATATACACTGAACTAGATAGAAACAGAGCATGATGTATATACACTGAACTAGATAGAAACAGAACATGATGTATATACACTGAACTAGATAGAAACAGAACATGATGTATATACACTGAACTAGATAGAAACAGAACATGATGTATATACACTGAACTAGATAGAAACAGAACATGATGTATATACACTGAACTAGATAGAAACAGAACATGATGTATATACACTAAACAGAACTATATACACTGAACTAGAAGACAGAACATGATGTATATACACTGAACTAAATAGAAACAGAGCATGATGTATATACACTGAACTAGATAGAAACAGAACATGATGTATATACACTGAACTAGATAGACTGAACTAGAGCATGATGTATATACACTGAACTAAAGAAACAGAACATGATGTATATACACTAGAAACAGAACATGATGTATATACACTGAACTAGATACACTGAACTAGATAGAAACAGAACATGATGTATATACACTGAACTAGATACACTGAACAAGATAGAAACAGAACATGATGTATATACATTGAACTAGATACACTGAACTAGATAGAAACAGAACATGATGTATATACACTGAACTAGATAGATAGAAACAGAACATGATGTATATACACTGAACTAGATAGAAACAGAACATGATGTATATACACTGAACTAAATAGAAACAGAACATGATGTATATACACTGAACTAGATACACTGAACTAGATAGAAACAGAACATGATGTATATACACTGAACTAGATACACTGAACAAGATAGAAACAGAACATGATGTATATACATTGAACTAGATACACTGAACTAGATAGAAACAGAACACGATGTATATACACTGAACTAGATACACTGAACTAGACAGAAACAGAACATGATGTATATACACTGAACTAGATAGAAACAGAGCATGATGTATATACACTGAACTAGATAGAAACAGAACATGATGTATATACACTGAACTAGATAGAAACAGAGCATGATGTATATACACTGAACTAGATAGAAACAGAACATGATGTATATACACTGAACTAGATAGAAACAGAACATGATGTATATACACTGAACTAGATACACTGAACTAGATAGAAACAGAACATGATGTATATACACTGAACTAAATAGAAACAGAACATGATGTATATACACTGAACTAGATACACTGAACTAGATAGAAACAGAACATGATGTATATACACTGAACTAGATACACTGAATTAGATAGAAACAGAACATGATGTATATACACTGAACTAGATACACTGAACTAGATAGAAACAGAACATGATGTATATACACTGAACTAGATACACTGAACTAGATAGAAACAGAACATGATGTATATACACTGAACTAGATACACTGAACTAGATAGAAACAGAACATGATGTATATACACTGAACTAGATACACTGAACTAGATAGAAACAGAACATGATGTATATACACTGAACTAGATAGAAACAGAGCATGATGTATATACACTGAACTAGATAGAAACAGAACATGATGTATATACACTGAACTAGATAGAAACAGAGCATGATGTATATACACTGAACTAGATAGAAACAGAACATGATGTATATACACTGAACTAGATACACTGAACTAGATAGAAACAGAACATGATGTATATACACTGAACTAGATAGAAACAGAGCATGATGTATATACACTGAACTAGATAGAAACAGAACATGATGTATATACACTGAACTAGATACACTGAACTAGATAGAAACAGAACATGATGTATATACACTGAACTAGATAGAAACAGAGCATGATGTATATACATTGAACTAGATAGAAACAGAACATGATGTATATACACTGAACTAGATAGAAACAGAGCATGATGTATATACACTGAACTAGATAGAAACAGAACATGATGTATATACACTGAACTAGATACACTGAACTAGATAGAAACAGAGCATGATGTATATACACTGAACTAGATAGAAACAGAACATGATGTATATACACTGAACTAGATAGAAACAGAGCATGATGTATATACACTGAACTAGATAGAAACAGAGCATGATATATATACACTACATTGATTCAGAGATAGTTCTGTATTTATTTCTCACCTTTCATCATTCTGTCCATGTAATGGATTCATTCCAGCAAATCCAGGCATATTGATGTGGTCCTTTATAATCATTAGGTCACCAATATCATAATTCTGATTAATTCCTCCAGCTGCATTAGTTACAAATAGAATCTTCACCCCCATCAACTTCATAATCCTGATAGGCAGTGCAGTCTGTCAAAACAACACAAATCCACAAATACATGTAGCATTGGTCATATTCACAAACCATTCAATTTCAGTCACACTGCCATCAATACAGAAATGATATACTCCCAGTAAATATCTGGTATACTTGTACAAATAGATAATTATTGACACCTGTGTGCAAATTTTGATATCCCTTACTAAACTCATACAAGTGTGAAATTTTCAAATAGTTGGTGAATAAAATGTAAACAGACATGTCGATATTGAGAATGTATGACAATTATTCCATAAAACATCTTAAACAATTACCATTGCCTAACATTGATTAGTTTTTACCACTCATATCTTTTCCTTTCTCTTTTTTTTAAACTGATCCAAGATCAAATATGTGCGACCACGAACAATGGGGAACTTAAATACAAAATTTGAGAGAGTTCTAGTCAGAACATCCAAAATAGCTGTAGCAAAACCTTAAAGTCAAAATCCATGTTAGGTGTCTGGTGGTCATTTTTTTTAACCAGTTCAGATTAAAACTTCTTAAACTGAAGAAAGATTCACCAGATACCTCTCAAGAGAACAGCAAACATCGACTTTCAAAATCTAACACAAACATCTATGTGCAATTTTGTTTTTCTGATCAGTTCTATAATTAATCCTTCACAACTGAGAACCATGGGGAACAGACATATAAAATATAAAAGTAATCCATCAGATAGTTTTTCAGAAATGGCTAAAGTAAATTTCAACCGTCAAAATCCAAGATAACAGCCTATTGTGGCCATTTTATTTTTCAGATCAGTCCAGAAATTATTCATGCATAATTAAGGAACAAGGTGAGCATATCAACCTTGAGAATGATCCATCCAGTAATTAAGAAATAGTGATAACAATCTCAGATGGCCAACTGTCTGTCACAGTCATTAAGATTCTCAAACTATCAGAACATGTACAAGTTATATAGGGACCAAGAGGAATGTACATATGAAAATTAGAATGATAAATCAAGTATTTCTTAATAAACAGCAACAGCAAAGAACTGTTTAAGGACTAACAGACCTTGGACAAGGGCAATAACCACCATATGTAATAACATCCACTAAAACACGAGGTGTGTGACGGTTCCATTAGTGACTATGTCCTGTTGAAGGTGAAATCATTTGGTTGTGGTTTTTACTTACCTTTTGCATTGTGAAACCTTCATAGAAATGTACACGTCCTTTCATCAGAACGACAGATTTCCCCCCTAGTTGTCCAAACACTAACTTTCCTGCATGTCCTGGCACTAAAACAATGAAACTTTACATTTACCTGTGTAAATGATGACTGCTCAAAAAAAAAAAAAATCTCACTATTGGACAAAAAATTTAACCGAAGGGCAATAATTATGTTATTAAGAAGCTGTAGACCCTGAATTTGGTAAACTGTGTATTCTCTTAGTATGACCAATGTATACACCAAGGTTCACTCCTAAATCATACAAAAGTTTCTTGTTCACAGTACTTCACCTGATCAAAATCAATCTACCTATGAAGTTTCATGTTGATACCACTTACAGTTTTTGTAATATGTTCGAACCCTTTGGGGAGCATAAAAACACACATAAAGGGCATGGTGTTAAAAAAAGGCTGGCATATCTTGTACAACACATCAGCTTTTAATCCAATTTCTTACACTTTCCTTATAGCTAGAACAAGTTTCCCAGGGGTAACGCATTAAGAGACATATAGTAGACATGTTCTACAAGTTTCCCAGGGGTAATGCATTAAGAGACATATAGTAGACATGTTCTACATTCTATATACTATCTTAATTGTGGAATGAGGAGGATACAAAGATTTTCTTCCATATTAGAAATCCGGAACAAAGAAAATCTCCTTAGGCTCTTTGGATGTAGCACCTAATTACCTTCTCTGGCTCATACAGTGACACAACATAGATAAATCTACATGAAGGTAGACTGCACTGTAAATCAATAATACTGCTTCAAGGGCTAATATATATAGTCTGCTATATAATTATCACAATCAACAGTGGACTTAATCACCATAGCAACTAATAATGCTTCTGTTGCTAGGAGACTTTAAGTAATGAATCATCTTTGTTCTTGTAAATTGATCTAAACTGTTTTGAGATTTATAATTATAACAAGGATGAGAAGGGTATTGTGTTGTTTTAGAGTGTGTGATATAAATGTCCTAAGAGCAGAAGAGTTGATAAACCATTTTATTTGAAAGTCTCCATTTTCCAATTATATAGTTATTTTTAAATTCTAAATTACTACAAATGTAACCATATATGTGGTCTTTGGTTAAATTCTCATTTCTAGATCCTGACTATAAGAAGTCATTTGAATACATGACCAGAAGGATCTTATTGTCCACCATTGTTTGAACTTTATTTTTGTTTCTTCTGTTCAGTCCCAAAAACCAAATGTGCACAAGGAGAGACCAAAGGGAACATATGTATGAGAGACACATTCACTATTTCATAAGAAATAAGGATAAAACTATTTACTAAGCAAAATCCAAGATGGCTGCCTGTTGGCCATTTTTTTTCCATCTCAGTTCCAAGCTCAAACAGGCACAACTAAGGACTAAAAGGGACCTATACTAGATATTTGAGAAATATCCACACATTATTTCTCAAGAAATAGTGATAACAAACTTTCAAAATCAAAATCGAAAATGGCCGTTTGTGGGCCATTTTGTTTTTTATGATCATTTCCAAAATCAAATGGGCACAACTATGGATCAAAGGAAACAAACACATGAAATTTGAGAAAGATCTACTCTGTAGTTCTCAAGAATTAGCGATAACAATCTTGTAAAATCAAAATCTAAGAATGCTGCCTGTCGACCATTACATTTTTCTGATCAGTCCTAAAATCAAATGGTAACAACTTAACAGACAAAGGGGAGCCTACAAAGGAAATTTGAGAGAAATCCATCTTGCACTTAAGAAGAAGTTATAACAATCTTTCGAAGTCAAAATCCACAATGGCTGCTTTGTGGGCAATTTTGATTTTTCTGATCCAACCCAAAATTAGACGAGCACAACTAGGGAGCATGGGGAACCTACGTATGAACTTTAAGATAGATCCATCAAGTATTTCTCAATAAAACAGTGATAACAAACTTTCAAAATCAAAATCCAAGTTTTCCCGGTCAGACCCAAAATCAAATGGGCACAACTAGGGATCAAGCGGAACCTCTATACAAAATTTTAAGAAAGATCCATCGAATATTTCATTCATGGGAAAAATTCACGATTGCTGTCTGTTAGCCATTTTGTTTCTCTGATCAGTCCTAAAATCAAATGAGCACAACCATGGACTTAGGGAAACCTACATATGAAATTTGACAAAGATCTATCCAGTACTTCTCAAGAAATAGCAATAACGAATTTTGTTTACGGAGAGATGGATGGACATAGGATGATTTGAATAGCCCAGCATCTGATGATGGTGGGCTGAAAATAATGTACTCTGAATAAGATGATTTTTTCTTTATTTTTCGAAAATAGAGCACATTAAAAATAACCAAGCAATATATTGTGTAAATGTTAAGAGTTCAGGTTGCCCTACTAGCCTTGACCTGCTGTAGCCAGAAACAGTCATTTGTTCTAGTCCCAGCCAGGGCCGGACATGCTTTCCATTACTCCTTCCGTTTACAATTTGTAAAACAATAACAAGTCACTTGTGTAGCATTCTAAATGTGACCAGCCTTCATGTGAAATTTGGAAATTTGTTTCATGACTTACATATTACATGATCATGATTATCCTATACATAATATATATAATTCATCAGGACAGTTTTTAAGTTTAAAGCTGAGAGAGAACTTCTGATGAAAAAGTTCCTGTCTGACGGACTGACTATGTGCACACTGTACATGATATGTGAACACTGTCAAAATGTTTGACAAATGTATGAAAAGAATGTGCACATATATATACATCAAGTTGTAGTCTTCTATGTCTGATATGTATCTACACATGCTAAGAGGCTTGTCACATTAAAACCACAGCAACAGCATGTTCCTTCAGGACACTGAAATTTATAAATGACATGTCCCTTCACAAAACCTGACACAATGACTTACTAAACAGAGAGCATTAGTGTAACAACAAATTGTAGTATATTTGTACAATTCATGTTAATGATTTGTCAGATGGTAAATTGCTGTCTATAGCTTTCCTGAATAAGTTTCTTCGCCGAGTTTTTCAGTAAGACATGTTTACCTGTACTGACTGGAAAGCCAGGAATTTCCTCGTATCCCATAATCTCTGTATCTTTCACCATGTTGGCCAGCTCTCCCAGTCCGGATCCACAAATGATTCCGACCACTGGTCGACATTTGATCTTGGCCATAATATCATCTGCCAACTTCTTTGCTTCTTCATAGCTAGCTGCAGCACTGGAAAACGTGAAAAGTAGTACAATATGTTAGATTTTTATATTCTGATTCTCTCAGTGAGATGATGAACATTTCACTGACTAAATCTGTGTTTAAGATACTATGACACTCAACAATATCCCTGTTACACTAGCTGTAGATACACTTGGTACCCGATTGGTAGTGTTAAATGGACCAGCCTCATCATTTGTCTAATTCTGATTCCTAAATAAAGTTAAAACATTTAGAATAGGGTAAGAGAAATAAATCTATAATCTAGGAAAACCTTTGAGAGTCATTCATTTGAACCCTGATCAGGCATTTTTATCCTCCTGTTACAAATTTGTGCCCTTATTTTAAGTAGGTGAATGCTTAATATGGGGAAAGCCAAACCTGTTTTATAAATAACCTAGTTGTGTCTTTTGTGGGCAAAGACTTTGAAAAAGAAGGGCACTGGACAAGGTCAATCATTGGCTATCACAATGCTCAACTGGTAGAACCTCCATCTAGAGTTTGAAGGTTCCTGGGTTCAAAACCCAGGCAGATGGCTGTGCACTTTTTACCTCCCATTACAAAGTCAACTAGAATTTTTTTCTAAAATATTCTTTTTTGACTGAAACAATATATCAAAAATAATTAATTACAATCAAGTGAGCTGGCAGAGATATAGAACAACAAAAGGAAATAAGCATGTTTTCTTGGTAAAGACATGAAAATGAGTGAAAATAAAATGACACTTTTACGATATAAGTAAATTGCAGTAGTTCATATTACATAAAATAACGAGATTTTCAAAAATCCTTCAAGCATGAATATCTGCATTAACTGAAGACTTATATTAGGTTTTCTGCTTTGGAGTGCAAGTATATCGTCTGAGCAGTCATGTGTATCTGCCCATACAAACTGAAACTGCAGCACTCTCATGCTGAACTCATTTAGTTGTGTCATGGTAATAATCACCAAAACTTGACTGAATTCATTGTGGTTCAGTTTTGACTCAGAAAATTAAAAAAAAAAAAAAAATAGCCGAGCCTTGGTTGTTGATGAATGAAAATATAAAGGTGTTGAAACCCCCCAAAACAATCAAGACCCTTTTCCATGGCAGATCTAGTTAAGGTATAGTATGATTGATCCTTCTACACCAACAGAAATAGTGCTCAGTATACTGGTGAATCATTGTTTACAATGTAATTATAGATAACACATGATCACAGCTTTCTTCAAGTGCTTATGCAATAAATGTTTTACATAAGTGGTGACTTAGCGTCGTACAAAAATGTATATTCCTGAAAATCTTATTCATGGACATAATAAAGGGTTTGATATAAAGTGTATGCATTTTTAGGATCTACTTCAAGCAGCATTCCTCAACTGTTACCGTTGTTGTAAAGGTCATCAGTTAAAAAAAATTGATCATGAATTGAATGTTTATCATGACCATGAAAACAAACTTTAAATTTACCACTGTCAAACACGGCAATTTATATACCACCATGGAACTACATCGCTATTGACCTTCAACACTGGAACAGAGCCAAGTAGTTTTAACATTCCCATACACAATGAAACACGCCTCTGGTATTGACCAATCAGACAATCCCATATTTACACACCCTCTACCTATTTATAGCTGTATTCTAACACTGGCAAATATTGGAAATCACTGTTTAAGATAAATCATAGCAAATTCAGGAAGGTTTTGTACACAAACTAGTTTATGATCATTCAAAACAACTTTGAGTCCCTCCTTACTTGACAATTACAACAGTCATTCATTTCTTAATTTCTAAAGCTAAGTAATGTCAGTCTTGATTATATGGCAGTGATGAAATCAGAAAAAATAACTGGAACAATACATAATCAAACAAATAAGAAACCAATCATACACTTTCATTTTTATCAAAACAGGAATCTGAAAAACTTTGACAAATTTTAGCGATTCCCAAACACTCTAACAACCATTTCTGTATGTTACTGGATAGTATGACAGTTGTACTAATCTACTTTGTAAATTCACTTGTATATCGATCAACTGACAATAAATATCTCTAGTTTGTGTACTATGTAATTTGTCCATAAGGTATAAACAGCTCAATAGACTACTTTCTTCAATAATGATCGTTTTGATGGAAGAAGTGGTTTCGCTACGCCTGATCAAGCACATTCTGTACTTACATGTCCCGTGACAAATTGCTGTCAGGCTACACTTTTTGTTCTGATTCAAGTTAAGCATAATTTTAACACACCTACCCTAGCATCCCGTTCATGGTAATGTATTCTGGATTCCAACAGAAGTAAACAGAATGAAAGCGTGAATCCCTCGACTGGCTGATGTAATCCCTGACGGTCGTTACTCGACGACACTCTATTGTGAAGTGTATACCTGTTCACAGTCCTCGGTACTTATACACTCACCTGGTTCTGGGACTTTGTTGGTATGTATTACAGTGTTTATGGCTGGTCACAACTTCCATATATACACTTTGATATGTATATATATGCACAGTACCAAACAGACATGACCATTCATAACTGTTGAAATAGCTGTCATTCCATTTCTTAATATATCTTGTCTGGATGTCATATTAAAATTAATGGCTTTGATGAAATCAATCCTATCCAAAGACAACAGAAAGACTAAAGGATTAATCAGGAAATGGAACTACAAGTTCTCTGACTCAAGGGCATGTGGTTAATCAGAAAAACTCAAATGAGATAAAAATTCTCAAAATGTTAGCAATGTGAAATATATATCACATTCAATATGCAGTGGTCCATTTCATAGACAACTTTGAATAGACTCTTTAGAAGTAACACAAACACACAGTAGAAGATTTAAGTTTGATGACGACACTGATACCTTCATCAGACAAATGCTCAGTACTAGCAGGGACGTACCTGGTACTAGTACTTCATGTTGATGAAGGTTACAGTGTTGTCATCGAAACAGTGAACTAAAACCTTGTAATGGTTGTGTTTTAAGGACTAAGTTTGATTACATCGTTATTTTGTCATATTAAAATGATAGACATGTAAGAAATATAAAGAGGAGTTTTAACAGGTTGTTTAGCAGGTTGATTAGTTGTCTTTTCTAATCCTAGTTCTTTAATAAATCAATATGATTAGCCGTCTTTTCTAATCCTAGTTCTTTAGTAAATCAATATGATTAGCCGTCTTTTCTAATCCTAGTTCTTTAGTAAATCAATATGATTAGCCGTCTTTTCTAATCCTAGTTCTTAAGTAAATCAATATGATTAGCCGTCTTTTCTAATCCTAGTTCTTTAGTAAATCAATATGATTAGCCGTCTTTTCTAATCCTAGTTCTTTAGTAAATCAATATGATTAGCCATCTTTTTTAATCCTAGTTCTTTAGTAAATCAATATGATTAGCTGTCTTTTTTAATCCTAGTTCTTTAGTAAATCAATATGATTAGCTGTCTTTTTTAATCCTAGTTCTTTAGTAAATCAATATGATTAGCCATCTTTTCTAATCCTAGTTCTTTAGTAAATCAATATGATTAGCCATCTTTTCTAATCCTAGTTCTTTAGTAAATTAATATAGTTAACATAGTTATAACTGAATCTGAGTGAAAGTCATTCAAAACATTTGGTAGAATACAGAGTTTTGGGGACATAACTTATGACGACTTAAACCTAGTTTATTCCACAGGTTTTGATTTTTTCAAATCAGGTGAACAGTCGACTGATAGACATTAAAGCCATGAAATAAAAGTTGGGACAAAATTACAAGACTGATAGATACTTATGATGATGAGGTAAAGGTGAAGACTGTGATGAGGAGTTAGCCTATGTAACTTCCTCTAGTTTCCTGTTTCCTGACTAGATGACTTATTACAGGATGTTATCTTCAATCACATCCCAGTATCAGCTGTCCAATAAAAACCACCTTTGTGGACACAGTAAATCTAGCACTTCAACTTTTCTAACGAAATTATAAAATAGTTAAAACATTATATGATCACTTTACTTACTTTAATCATATCTAAAAGATTAAAATATACCTTGTTTGTCATCATTACATACATCACTACTGACTGCATCATCACAACACCATTTATATGGCAGTTATATGACTGTTCTGTCACTGTCTGCTGCGTTTGTTACAGGTAAGGTAAACAATTTTTTATGTTCTTAATAACGCATGACTCGATAATTTTCTTGCATAAAAAAACCTGGGAACAACACAAACAACCTTGAAAAAATTGATAGGTACTACAGGTTTATATCATTATTCTGACATGTCGTGGTGCTGGTGCAGGTAATTTCTTATATTCTGTAACAGGTTAATCATTATTCTGATGTCGTGGTGCTGAAAGCTGGTAAGAAATTGTATTAACAGGTTAATCAGTTCTGATCAGTTCTCAACTGTACTACAGGTTAATCATTATTCTGATGTCGTGGTGCTGAATGTTGTGTTCAAATTCTGTGCTACAGGTTAATCATTATTCTGATGTCGTGGTGCTGAATGTAGTTCTCCAATTCTGTACTACAGGTTAATCATTATTCTGATGTCGTGGTGCTGAATGCAGTTCTCCAATTCTGTACTACAGGTTAATCATTATTCTGATGTCGTGGTGCTGAATGCAGTTCTCCATTTCTGTACTACAGGTTAATCATTATTCTGATGTCGTGGTGCTGAATGCAGTTCTCCAATTCTGTACTACAGGTTAATCATTATTCTGATGTCGTGGTGCTGAATGCAGTTCTCAAATTCTGTACTACAGGTTAATCATTATTCTGATGTCGTGGTGCTGAATGTAAATTCTGTACTACAGGTTAATCATTATTCTGATGTCGTGGTGCTGAATGTCTGTACTACAGGTTAATCATTATTCTGATGTCGTGGTGCTGAATGTAGTTCTCCATTTCTGTACTACAGGTTAATCATTATTCTGATGTCGTGGTGCTGAATGTAGTTCTCCATTTCTGTACTACAGGTTAATCATTATTCTGATGTCGTGGTGCTGAATGTAGTTCTCCAATTCTGTACTACAGGTTAATCATTATTCTGATGTCGTGGTGCTGAATGTAGTTCTCCAATTCTGTACTACAGGTTAATCATTATTCTGATGTCGTGGTGCTGAATGTTGTGTTCCAATTCTGTACTACAGGTTAATCATTATTCTGATGTCGTGGTGCTGAATGCAGTTCTCCAATTCTGTACTACAGGTTAATCATTATTCTGATGTCGTGGTGCTGAATGTAGTTCTCCAATTCTGTACTACAGGTTAATCATTATTCTGATGTCATGGTGCTGAATGCAGTTCTCCAATTCTGTACTACAGGTTAATCATTATTCTGATGTCGTGGTGCTGAATGCAGTTCTCCAATTCTGTACTACAGGTTAATCATTATTCTGATGTCGTGGTGCTGACTACAGGTTAATCATTATTCTGATGTCGTGGTGCTGAATGTAGTTCTCCAATTCTGTACTACAGGTTAATCATTATTCTGATGTCGTGGTGCTGAATGTAGTTCTCCAATTCTGTACTACAGGTTAATCATTATTCTGATGTCGTGGTGCTGAATGCAGTTCTCCAATTCTGTACTACAGGTTAATCATTATTCTGATGTCGTGGTGCTGAATGTAGTTCTCCAATTCTGTACTACAGGTTAATCATTATTCTGATGTCGTGGTGCTGAATGTAGTTCTCCAATTCTGTACTACAGGTTAATCATTATTCTGATGTCGTGGTGCTGAATGTAGTTCTCCAATTCTGTACTACAGGTTAATCATTATTCTGATGTCGTGGTGCTGAATGTAGTTCTCCAATTCTGTACTACAGGTTAATCATTATTCTGATGTCGTGGTGCTGAATGTAGTTCTCCAATTCTGTACTACAGGTTAATCATTATTCTGATGTCGTGGTGCTGAATGTAGTTCTCCAATTCTGTACTACAGGTTAATCATTATTCTGATGTCGTGGTGCTGAATGTAGTTCTCCAATTCTGTACTACAGGTTAATCATTATTCTGATGTCGTGGTGCTGAATGTAGTTCTCCAATTCTGTACTACAGGTTAATCATTATTCTGATGTCGTGGTGCTGAATGTTGTGTTCCAATTCTGTACTACAGGTTAATCATTATTCTGATGTCGTGGTGCTGAATGTAGTTCTCCAATTCTGTACTACAGGTTAATCATTATTCTGATGTCGTGGTGCTGAATGTAGTTCTCCAATTCTGTACTACAGGTTAATCATTATTCTGATGTCGTGGTGCTGAATGTAGTTCTCCAATTCTGTACTACAGGTTAATCATTATTCTGATGTCGTGGTGCTGAATGTAGTTCAATTCTGTACTACAGGTTAATCATTATTCTGATGTCGTGGTGCTGAATGTAGTTCTCCAATTCTGTACTACAGGTTAATCATTATTCTGATGTCGTGGTGCTGAATGTCGTGTGCTGAATGCCTCCAATTCTGTACTACAGGTTAATCATTATTCTGATGTCGTGGTGCTGAATGTAGTTCTCCACAGGTTAATCATTATTCTGATGTCGTGGTGCTGAATGTTGTTCTCCAATTCTGTACTACAGGTTAATCATTATTCTGATGTCGTGGTGCTGAATGTAGTTCTCCAATTCTGTACTACAGGTTAATCATTATTCTGATGTCGTGGTGCTGAATGTAGTTCTCCAATTCTGTGCTGAATGTTCTGTACTACAGGTTAATCATTATTCTGATGTCGTGGTGCTGAATGTAGTTCTCCAATTCTGTACTACAGGTTAATCATTATTCTGATGTCGTGGTGCTGAATGTAGTTCTCCAATTCTGTACTACAGGTTAATCATTATTCTGATGTCGTGGTGCTGAATGTACTTCTCCAATTCTGTACTACAGGTTAATCATTATTCTGATGTCGTGGTGCTGAATGTAGTTCTCCATTTCTGTACTACAGGTTAATCATTATTCTGATGTCGTGGTGCTGAATGCAGTTCTCCAATTCTGTACTACAGGTTAATCATTATTCTGATGTCGTGGTGCTGAATGTAGTTCTCCAATTCTGTACTACAGGTTAATCATTATTCTGATGTCGTGGTGCTGAATGTAGTTCTCCAATTCTGTACTACAGGTTAATCATTATTCTGATGTCGTGGTGCTGAATGCAGTTCTCCAATTCTGTACTACAGGTTAATCATTATTCTGATGTCGTGGTGCTGAATGCAGTTCTCCAATTCTGTACTACAGGTTAATCATTATTCTGATGTCGTGGTGCTGAATGCAGTTCTCCAATTCTGTACTACAGGTTAATCATTATTCTGATGTCGTGGTGCTGAATGTAGTTCTCCAATTCTGTACTACAGGTTAATCATTATTCTGATGTCGTGGTGCTGCTGAATGAAACTTGAAATCAGTTCAGGTTTTTTTTATCATAGATGAGTTATGCTGAATTTTGGAACAAAGCCAAAAAATAAGACTTGGTCAGGACAATCTCAGGTTCACTTCATGCTTGTTTGATATCATTGCCACTCCCTTATAATTCTTCAGGCCAAATTGGGTTGAAATCTACCAAGGCATGGAGAAGGAATAGCATTTTGGAGCAAAATATTGTCTAACTTCCCCTTTTGGAGCCCGCCCACTCCTAAGTCTCTAGGGGTCGAATCAACTTTCAGTGTTTAAGAAATGATTTTTCACTCTCAATGATGTTTTATACCTATTTGGTTTAAATCCATTAAAGCCTTAAGGAAGAGTAGCTTTTGAAGCAAAATTACTGACTAATTTTCCTGTTTGGGGTCGGCCCAACACCAAGGTCTCTCGGGGTCAAATAAACGTTTTGAATTTAAGAAATGATAAAATACTACAATAATGTTTCAGACCAAATTTTGTTGAAATCTGCCCAGGCATTAAGAAGGAATAGCGCTTTGAAGCAAAATATTGACAAACTTTCCCATTTGGGGCCACAGCCACACCTAAGCTGCCTGAGTCGGTTATTAAATCCAAAACAGTAGTAGAGTTTGAAATTAATTTAGATAATTATTGGAAAAATCGGGAGATAAACTTTAATTACTTAGCCAGTTATAAATCAGTCAGCGGAGGTATAACCTAATATACTATGTATTTTATACTGTATACCAGTAATGATATGGATATAGAGGCAATTTAATGCTGCGTCCATAAAATATCCTGTCGTATCCTTTTGTAAATATCTAGGAGTCAAATCAACTTTCTGATATATAAGAAATGATTCCCCACTCTCAATGATGTTTCACACCAAATTTAGCCATTCAGGCGTTAAGGATGAGTAGCATTTGGAAGCAAAATATTATCTAATATCCCCTTTTGGTGTCCTGCCCCTAAATCTCTAGGGGTCGAATCAACTTTCTGAATTATGAAATAACTGCCTACCCTAACTGATGAATCAGGCCAAAGCTTGTTGACATCCATCTAGGAAGACCATGGGGGTCAAATCAAAATTCTGAATTTAACAAATGATTACCAAATGATAACCTTTACCTGATGATGCAGCAGACCAAAATTTGGTTGAAATCTACAAATGTATGAAAGAGGATTAGAGTTTTAAACAGAAAATTTACACCTGACACATGCCACGCGATGATGGACAAAGCACAATGGTTATTGGTCATGTTGATCCTTTGGGTTACCAAATTTTAGCTCAATGGCACCAGTGGAACTGGAGAAGAAGTTTTAAATGTTTTTCAAGATGGCAGCCATCTTGGATATCAAAAAACCCCATTTCATAAAAGTTTGAGCTCAATCTCACTGGTGGAACTTTAGATGAAGTTTGAAATATCAAGAGTTTACGCACAGCAAACGGCACACAGCGGACAATAACGTACGAAGCACAATGGATACAAGTCATCATGACCCGATTATAGTAGAAAACATTCATTTTAGTCTGGATTTACATGAAGATAATCAATATGAATGTCAACCATATTGAATTGCAGCCCTCAGATTGAACTGTAAGTAGATGTCCTCCTATATGTTAAAGAGACTACCTTATATGGTAAATGCAGTAAAGCTTACTCTGGATACTAACAAATGAACATTAACAGGTTTGACAGTTTACAAGTCTTTTATCCACTGGGATGCTCATACTTGTTTCCAGGCATGGCTTGGACTAAAATGTTGACCACTTCCTTAGATATGCTGACCGGAAAGTATCACGACCATAAGGGGGCATCTCTGAAGCATTTGGCAAATGGGAACTCAATACAAAACTGACAAGACTGCTGTATCATTTTCACAATACTGCAGTTGTAGAAATCAACACGGATGGTACTAGAGATTTATGTCGTAATATTCGGCAAGTTTACAGTACCGGTGTAAAAAGTTATCAATTAGCCTCCTAGTTCTAGAATCAGAGGCATCAACAGCCTAACTTTTTAAGAGTTGTTTCCCCTTCTTCACAGGAGAAATCATCACAAACAGTAAAGGGAATTAATATGACGAAATTTCCGATAATGTACCTAACAAAACGATGATGTTTTACTACACTAGTATATCATCTTGTGTATAGAGACAGCTTACGTAAACACCAGCCTAATCTGGTATGCAGTGCAGTTGTCGTTTCATTTAGATGCAGCATCTGGTGGAAAGTAAATAGGCCAATCATGTTTATGTATTTTCTGATGAAATCGTGCATTTTATAAACTTACTTGTCACTGTTGGCACCATTGTTGGTTTCCATGGTGTTATTGTTAGTTGACAATTTTCTTGACTTCCTTGGAAAATGTAATTTTACTGATTCTATTGGTCTACCTTGATAATGATGAGCAGTGGAGTAATGTGAAACCTTGTCGAGTGATAGCAATATATGATTCGCGTAGTAATATTTTAACTTGTGGAGGACTTCCCACATAAAATTCCTTTTATCGTAATAACATTTTTGTGCAGAATAGCAGTGTTGTTCCTGAGAATCATTCCATACCAAGACATTTCTGTTATTGCAAGTTGTGTGACGAACTTCAACCTTGTCGCGGACGTATCTTCAGCGTGATAACGGTGAAACGTTTGTTGACATCGAAACCTCGTGGCTGGTTAGCTTAGACATCCATTTAGTACTATGATTGACGAGTCTTAATTAACTTTTCTTCCCTTCAACATTAAAGAAAATAAGTGTGAACAAAGTCTCATATTTCATACTGTCTTAATCTATCAAAATATATTTATATATCAATTTGAAAGCTAAATGAGAAACCGTACTAGTTCATTTTGTTTACTTACTGGTGTTTCTGTATGTTTTTCTGCAAATGATTCTGAGTATTTCGATTGACGGGTTTGTTTTGGTGACGTCATTGATGATTTCGGCTTTGGTAGAGTATGTATATCCATTGACGGGTTTATTTTGGTGACGTCATTAAATATTCGGCTGTACCGTAATGTGCATACATCTTTTTTTTACAACGGTTTATGATTTGTATAACGTATATGACGTGTTATGGTGATTTGGGTATTTTGCTTGCAAAACATAATTTTAAAGTTTTTTTTAAAATTCCAAATATTATTATTTTACTGACAAAAAACATAAATTATTATATTTCTTGATATTGTAACGCGCACCCTTATGGTAGCGTGCGTGCCCGCCGGGCTCTCAAATTAAACGGAGCTACCTGCTCCAGAGGCGATCGGGATACCTCGGCTACCTGGCCGAACAAAATAACACAAACCAACGAACAATATATCAATCTACACTACAACAGGATGGACAGTACCCCTGTCCTCCCTACACCGTCGCCTGGACGTAGATCACACCACAAGGCTACAACACACCGCAACAGTATGCCAGCACCACGACACGGTCACTACAGGCACGTTCTCGATCGATATCAGCAATCAGGCATACCAGAGCAGCCTTTGCAGGCGACCCCTTATCCAGGAGCTTCTGGCGTACATCACCCGCCAACTTACCGGCACCAACCACACGTACAATAACTGTTACCAGTGTAGCCTTATTCCGGCGACCACTTATGCAAGAGCTTCTAATAACAGTATGTATCGTATTGTACTGGTTTCAATTACTGTTTATATAAAATTTGGTGTAACATTCTGGGTGTCTCATTATTTTGCAGATTAATAAAGCACCAAAAACTATCTCATAACCCAAAATACGTAAGACATTTATATTAATTCACTTATAAAGTATGATTACATATATAGAAAACACAAGTTTCCTTTACACATCAGTCAACCATCGTTAATTACATCAATTAGGTAGGTTACATGAAGGGAGATAACTCAAACTGTTGTTTTATTGTTGTTTTGCTGTTGTTGCTTTTATTGGTGCTGTTTGCTGTTGTTTGGCTGCTGTTTGGCTGCAGTTTTGCTGTTGTTTGCTGTTGTTTTATTGGGGTTTTTTTTGGTACTGTTTGCTGTTGTTTTGCTGCTGTTTGCTACTGTTTTTGCTGTTGTTTGGCTGCTGTTTGGCTGCAGTTTTGCTGTTGTTTGCTGTTGTTTTATTGGGTTTTTTTGGGTACTGTTTGCTGTGGTTTTGCTGTTGTTTGCTTTTGTTTGTGCTGTTTGCTACTGTTTTTGCTGTTGTTTGCTGCTGTTTGCTGTGGTTTTGCTGTTGTGTCGCTGCTGTTTGCTGTTATTTCGCTGCTGTTTTGCTGTTGTTTGCTTTTGTTTGTGCTCTTTGCTGTTTGGCTGCTTTTTGATGTTGTTTGGCTGCTGTTTTACTGTTGTTTTACTGCTGTTTGATGTTGTTTGATGTTGTTTGTTGTTGTTTGTTGCTGTTTTGCTGTTGTTTGCTTTTGTTTGTGCTCTTTGCTGTTTGGCTGCTTTTTTATGTTGTTTGGCTGCTGTTTTACTGTTGTTTTACTGCTGTTTGATGTTGTTTGATGTTGTTTGTTGCTGTTTTGCTGCTGTTTTGCTGTTGCTTGCTGCTGTTTTGCTGCTGTTTGCTGTTGCTTGCTGCTGTTTTACTGCTGTTTGCTGCTGCTTGCTGCTGTTTTGCTGTTGTTTGCTGTTGCTTGCTGTTGTTTGCTACTGTTTTGCTGCTGTTTGCTTCTGATTGCTACTGGTTTTTGCGGTTGTTTGCTGCCGTTTTGCTGTTGTTTGCTGTTGTTTTCGGTTGTTTTCTGTTGTTTGATGTTGTTTGCTGCTGTCTGTTGTTGTTTGCTGCTATTTTTGCTGTTGTTTGCTGCTGTTTGTTGTTGTTTGCTGCTGTTTGCTGTTGTTTGATGTTGTTTGCTGCTGTTTGCTACTGTTTTGCTGCTGTTTGCTTCTGATTGCTACTGGTTTTTGCGGTTGTTTGCTGCCGTTTTGCTGTTGTTTGCTGTTGTTTTCGGTTGTTTTCCGTTGTTTGCTGTTGTTTGATGTTGTTTGCTGCTGTTTGTTGTTGTTTGCTGCTGTTTGCTGTTGTTTGCTGCTGTTTGTGCTGTGTTTGTTACTGTTTGCTGCTGTTTTGCTGCTGTTTTTGTTGTTGTTTGCTGCTGTTTACTGTTGTTTGTATGTTGTTTGCTGTTGTTTGCTACTGTTTGTTTTTGCTGTTGTTTGCTTTTGTTTGTTTTGCTGTTGTTTGCTGTTGTTTTCGGTTGTTTTCCGTTGTTTGCTGCTATTTTTGCTGTTGTTTACTGCTGTTTGCTGCTGTTTTGCTGTTGTTTGCTGCTATTTGTGCTGTTGTTTGCTACTGTTTGCTGCTGTTTTGCTGTTGTTTGCTTTTGTTTGTGCTGTTTCGCTGCTAGTTGCTACTGATTTTGCTATTGTTTGCTGCTGTTTGCTGCTGTTTTGCTGTTGTTTGCTTTTGTTTGTGCGGTTTGCTGTTGTTTGGCTGTTGTTTTGCTACTGTTTGTCTGCTGTTTGCTACTGTTTTTGCTGTTGTTTGCTGCTGTTTTGCTGTTGTTTGCTGCTGTTTTGCTGTTGCTTGCTGCTGTTTTGCTGTTGCTTGCTGCTGTTTTGCTGTTGTTTGCTGCTGTTTTGCTGTTGTTTGCTGCTGTTTTGCTGTTGTTTGCTTCTGATTGCTTGTTTTTGCATTGTTTGCTGTTGTTTGCTGTTGTTTGCTGCTGTTTGTTGTTGTTTGCTGCTATTTTTGCTGCTGTTAGCTGTTGTTTGATGTTGTTTGCTGCTGTTTGTTGTTGTTTGCTGCTGTTTGCTGTGGTTTTGCTGTTGTTTGCTGCTATTTTTGCTGTTGTTTGCTGCTGTTTGTTGTTGTTTGCTGCTGTTTGCTGTGGTTTTGCTGTTGTTTGCTGCTATTTTTGCTGTTGTTTGCTGCTGTTTGTTGTTGTTTGCTGCTGTTTGCTGTGGTTTTGTTGTTGTTTGCTGCTGTTTGTTGTTGTTTGCTGCTGTTTGCTGTTGTTTGATGTTGTTTGCTGCTGTTTGATGTTGTTTGTTGCTGTTTTGCTGTTGTTTGCTGCTATTTTTGCTGTTGTTTACTGCTGTTTGCTGCTGTTTTGCTGTTTGCTGCTATTTGTGCTGTTGTTTGCTACTGTTTGCTGCTGTTTTGCTGTTGTTTGCTTTTGTTTGTGCTGTTTCGCTGCTAGTTGCTACTGATTTTGCTATTGTTTGCTGCTGTTTGCTGTTGTTTCGCTGCTGTTTGCTGCTGTTTTGCTGTTGTTTGCTTTTGTTTGTGCGGTTTGCTGTTGTTTGGCTGTTGTTTTGCTACTGTTTGTCTGCTGTTTGCTACTGTTTTTGCTGTTGTTTGCTGCTGTTTTGCTGTTGTTTGCTGCTGTTTTGTTCAGTGTTGTTGTGCTGCTGTTTTGTTGGGTTTTATTTTCTGCTGTTTGCTGTTGTTTGGCAGCTGTTTACTGCTGTTTTGCTTTTGCTTGCTATTGTGATGTTTACTGTTTTTTGAATTCAAAAACTGAATTTTTCTTGAAATTTTTGACAAAATTTTAACATTTAAAATTTTTACTTACAAATTATTACTCTTTTACATTTGATACTGACAAAAATATTATTTCTTTTTCATTTTTGACATACAAAAATATCAACATCTTACATCTCTTATTTGCAAATCTTTACTTTCAAGAAACATTTTTGGCCTCAGAAATGTGTAATTTGAACTTTTCCAGTATTTAATTATATTTTAATGGTGGAAATGGGTTCCAAGGGTTGTTTATAACTGTTAGGAAAATAAAAGCTGAGCAAGAAGAAAAACTAAAAATATAACACATTTAGAGGAAATATGAGTCATTTCCACATTGCTGTCGAATTCTGTGTCTACGACGCCTGCCGCCGTTCGTTCTGTTTAAAACAATTTACTTGGGATGGAAACCGAGAAAAAGACAGGACATCTGTGATAATGAGTATTTAGACGAAGAATGATTATTGAAATGTGTTAAATGACATTGACCTCTGTAGTAACCGTGGATTATAGATTTTGGAAATATTTACCAAAGACCAAGGACAGATTCATTTCTGAAACAATTTCAAATGTTTGTAATGCAGAAAAATTCATAATGTGTTTGCTAGTCGTGGGGGAAATGTCATCAAGAAAGCAAGAAGATTATCTGAGGACGATATAGTGTGACCCCAAGTTCGTTTTAGGTTTTACAGGTCCTTCCAGAGTGTTTGAGGGGGAAATGAAGGCAAATATAAGATCAATCAATCACAGATCGTCGATTGGCTACAAAGCCAAGATCACAATAACGTTCGAAGACAAGTGAGAAACAAGACCCCTTGAGTAAGCACTCCTTTAATCGGCGCTGACTACATGTGGTATGCAGATTTGAACGACGTGTCTAACATCAAGGAACATAACGACGGTGTGTGTTTTTTACTCGTCTTCTTCGATCATTTTTCCCGATATGATTGGGTAAAGCCTCTGAAAGAAAAGAAAAC